CATGTATTTGAGGGTGTTGTTAACTACATATGTTTATAATTGTTATGTCTTGTGGATGAATCGATACTTTTATTAGAAAAATACTGGGCAATGCATGGGGCTGTAGTTTCAGGAAGACAAAGCAAAGTTCAGGTGCTCAAGAAGTTCTTTGTGTTTGCTGGCCAAAAAGTGAGACACAATCTCAAAGAAAGAAAAAGTCTCTTTATACCTAATAACAATTTTTGCCCTAAAAATTTGTCTTAGAGAACATTAAAACAGCCACTACGGGTCTCTTTTGATTACTGACTATACAGTATTACTTTCACTATCCTTTTATTTCAACATTTTTTTATCTTTGATGTGAAGTGTGTCATTGTGAAATTGCTGATGTTACATTCATTCTCCCATTATATTACTGTCCTTTATATTTATCTATCTAGTTACCTTCATCTTTTTTTTTGCTCACTAGAGATTGAACACCGGGTCTTCATGTTGACCTGCCTTTCCAGCCCTTTTTTGTCGTTTTTTATATTGAGATAGGGTCAAATTTGAGCTCTTCCTGCCTCAGTCTCTCAAAATGCTGTGATACTCTGCTGGTTTCATTTCACCCTGCCGGACTCTTTCCAATAGTTCTCGTGGGCAGGTTCACCGTCTCATTTGCATGTCTTGGAATGATTCATAGTTTCCTTCTTCTTGGATTACTGTTTGTAGATATAGGAGTCTTGGTTGGTGCTCTTTTTCTTTCAGCACTTCGTGTATCTTCTCCTGGCCTTCCAGTCTTCATGGTTTGTCAGTTTTCTGCAAGATCTCTTCAGTATGATCTATTGTATTTTGTTTGTCAAGATCTTTTTTTCTGGATTTTGGCAGCTTGACTATGATATAGATGTACTTGTTTTAGTTTTTCCTACTTGGGGTTTGATGAATTGATTGGCTGTGTAGATTAATGCATTTCAGAAAATTTAGGAGTTTACTTCTGTTGTTTCTTTAATGTTCTTTCTATTCCTTTCACCCCTCATCTAGGAGACCCATCTGTGTACTGGTGTACTTGATGATACCCCACAGGTTTCCGATGCTCTGTACATTTTTCTTCATTCTTCTTTCTGTTCTTCAGATTACATAATAATTGATGCATCTTCAAGTGTGCTGATTCTTTTTTTTGATCTCATCTGTTCTTTTTTTTTTTTTGTACTGGGGATTGAACTCACAACTGCCTGCTTGCAAGGCAGGCACTTATGCCGCTGAGCTAAATCTCCAGCCCGATCTCATCCGTTCTTGAGTACATATATTGAGTTTTTAAATTTTTTTAGTTATCGTACTTTGTAACTTTAGAATTGGTTTGTTTCCTTATCATTTCTATTTCCTTATGGAGATTTCTATTTGTGGAGACATTATTCTCACAGTTTTCTTGACTTTAGTTCTTCTTTAGCTCTTTTACATAGTTTTTTGTTTGTTTGTTTGAGAAAGGTCTTGCCCTTGTCCAGGCTGCCCTTAAGGTCATTTATGTAGTAGGCCAGGATGGCCTCGAATTTATAGCAAGCCTCCTGAGTGCTGGGATTACAGATATGTGCCACTATGCCCAGCTCTATTTTTATGTATTTTTCTTTTCAGATCTATTTTATTTTAAAGACAAAAAAAATTCAAAATAATTAGGGGATAATTCACGGACTGTGGGGTAAGAGAACAAGAATTCACCAAGCAAGACCTCCCTGTGAACCAACAGGCCACAGCTACCAGGGGACAGCCAGACCTGGGGTTGGGAAACAAGATCCCGGTAAGGGACTGGCTGATCCAGAGCAACACAGGCTACAGTGACAGTTTTTTTTTTTTTTTTGGTACCGGGATCAAACATGACTGCATGCTTTCAAGACAGGCCTTATGGCGCTGAGCTAAATCCCTAGCCACAAAACACAATTTTGTTGGTTATTTGGTCTTGGGGATCGAACTCATAACCTTGCACAGGCCAGGAAGGCAATGTGCCACAAGCTGAATCCTGGCCACAGTGATAGCTATTGAGGTGAAATGCAATTTGATGCCTGTGGTGTTTGGTGTTTCACTGACTTTGCAGGTCTAAAGCTGGTGGTTTGATCACCTATTCAGGGATGATGGTACACAGTGTGGCATCTAAGGGGAATCTCCTTCTGAAGGTGGTAGCCATTGTTAAGTCTCTATTATCTTGTTTTGAAGTCCTGTATTATTCTCATTGTTTTGTTGGGTTGGGTTTTATTCTCTTTTGTTTTGTTTGATTTTGTTACATCTGACAGCATGGGCAGCTATTTCAGATAGCAAGATATTTAGTAGCCATTTTTAGATTTACTATTGTCTTGTTTTGAAGTCCTTTATTACATTCACTGTTTACTTTTTATTGGTTCTATTCTGTTCTGTTTTGATTTTTATTGTGTCTGAAGGTTATCTGCAGCTATTTTGAAGACAAGAGGCATTATGGTAACCACTCTTGATTTCATATTATTTTGAAGCCCTGTGTAACAGACTTACACTGGTTTGTTTCAATTGGCTTTATTCTGTTTTGGTTTTATCTCTTTAAAAAAATAACAATTAGGGGTAATGATATATACATTGTGTAATATATATATATATATATGTATATATATATACACATACATATTGTTTCAGCTTCTCAGAGACAATATGATGTTTATATATGTGTGTCTGATTCATTTCACTTGTAAGTATGGTCTCAAGCTGCACTCATTTACCTAGAAGTTTCAAGTTTACCCTTCTTTATGCCAGCTCTATTTTAGCTCTTCAAATGTACTTAAAATAGGTGTTTAAACATTCTTTTCGGTGGCACTGGGGATCAAACCCAGGGCCTTGACTTTGTTTGGCAAGTACTTTCCCAGTGAGCTATAACCCTGATTTAAATTCTGTCTAGAGTTTAACATTTGCATTTTTTTGTTTCTCTTTTTTTCCCTTACCGATTATTTTTAATAAATGTCTTTGAGAAAATGCTGTTCTCACTGTGCAAAGTCTGAACCAGGTTAAATAAAGGGAAATCTTGTGAATGAGGGTTTCCAAAGGATTCCCACAGTCCAGATAATAGCCATTCTATAAAAACAGTGTTTTGGGGGAGTCCCAAACAAGGGGCTAGCCAGTGTAAACTAATTTGTATGGTTCCTTTTAATAGTTTAAGTTCAGAGTTTTTTTCAACTTAGTCCCTTTATGAATATTCTTTAGATTTGTTGAGGCATTGTTTTCCTGGATTTTTAGCTCTGAGTGTATTTAGAAAAACTGACTTTAAATTTTACCTAGCATTAAAAGTTAAGAAGTTCTATTGTTCTATCACTCTTTTGCACAGTAGGATAACTATAGATTAACAGTAACATCCTCTGAGAAGCTAAGGCTGGAAAAATCACAAGTCCAAGCCCAGCCTGGGTGTTTTAGCAATTTACTGAGATCGTCTCAAAATGAAAAACATAGTGCCAGAGATGTAGCTCGTGCAAAGACCCTGGGTTCAATAGCCAGTGCTGATAAAAAAGTTATGGTAGACATAAACTAATTTAAACATAGTAAATATATGTCCTAAACACTCTCTCTCATATATACATATATATATGATACTCCATAAATACATGTTTTTAGGTTAAAATATAAACCTCATCTTCAGCAAACGTTTTGGCCTAAGTCCAGTATGCGTGCTTCCTCTGATTCTCATTTCTGTGAATGAGCCATATTTTTTTCTCATGTATTAGTTCATGATGAAAGCTAACCATTTTGATTATGTGTAAACTCTGGAAGCAGATTCTACTCCTCAGGGTTTGCTTTTGCTATCTGCTCTAGTGCTTAAGACTTTTCCAAACTGTGTAGTCTCTGTTCTTTGACTTATGTGCTAAGGTCTTCATTTTGGGTTCAGCTAATGTGTTGACAGAGATTTCCTTCAACACGTCACTCCAAAAATAAAACCCTTCCTAGTTTTTGTAAATTGGCTGTTGGAGAATACCTATGGTACTTAGCCAGGGCCTTTTAAATCCACCTCTATCTTTACTTCTGACTTGCTCTGAGTATAGAAATCAGGGCCCAGGCAGAAACTTGGTCTTTTCTGGTCTTTTTTACACGCAGCTCACCATAGATGGATGTATAGCTTTCTAAATCCTGAGGTATATATAGGTGTTTTTGAATGGCCTTATTTCCTTAAGGCATTCTCTTCATTGCTTTCCATCAGCGGCATTAGGCATTTATTTATGTCAGCTGCAATTACTGGTCCTGGGTGGCAGTGGACTGTTCATTTGCCTGCTGTTTTTAACAAAAATCTCTATATTTTAACAAAAATCTTGATTCAGACTTAATGAGACAAAAGTGAGTGCCTTGTGTCCATCTTTGTTTTTCTGACGTTAGAACAATCAATCTTTCGAGAATAAAGCCTTTCTGCTTCCTCAGGATCAAGGACCACTATGCTGAGAGTGTGGGCTGCTGTCTTCTTTTGAAGATTGCTGTAGAGCTGTCAAGTTGGGGAGGAGATACGGAAAGGGCAAGTGAAATACTGCAAAGCTTTCTTGTTTTTAGATGATCTTTTACTTAATGACTGAAGGTCTTTGACTATTTCCAGAGTTTGGAGATTGTTTCAGAATATTTTTACTTTATTTTTTGATGGTTTTGCAAAGGAAGGGTTTTGAAGTCACTTACTCCACCATTTTGGTGAACTGACTCTTGCTTATTTTTTTAGTACCTGGCACTATATATGAAAAGCTGAAGAGCTAATAATTTATGACCCTGGATGTTAAAAGTTCCTGAAGGTTTATTTTTTTGGTCAGGCATCAGCATTCCTGGGTAACTTTTAGAACAGTCAGAATCTGAGAACTTGAAGCTGGTTTTGAGGTTGTGTGTGGGTGAAACTATTGCTCATTCATCTTACACCTAAGTAAGATACACAATGCTCTGGGAGTGCAATTGGAAGCATGGCATATTTACCACACTTGTCGTCCTTGCTGGTGTCTTTATAGAAGTCTGTTTTTAGAAGTCTTACTGCAAATTGCTTAACTATACAAATATAATTGACAGGTAAGAAATTATAGGCATGAAAGAAATCAAATTTATTAATTATAAATTTACAAAGGGAAAGACATTCTTCATAATTCATAGACATATGTTTACAGAGAAATTATACCCATAGTTTTAATAATACTTCTGCAAGGTAAATTTAGTTCTTCAAATATTTTCTAATCTTTCCATAGGGCCTGGGTTTTGTTAGCTACCAAGTAAATATTCTAAGATTTACATACTAAACTTGATGTGGGCACAAAGCGTTTCCTATGCACATATCTCTCCTAAGTGCTCTGGGTCTCCATGTTCCCACTTCCAGAACATGGCTGCCAGGTTAAAAAGCTATCAGGGTCCTGAGGCATGGTAGTGCAAGCCTGTAATCTCAGCTACTTGGAAGGTTGAAGCAGGAGAACTGCAAGTTCAAAGGCAATCTAGACAACTTAGTAAGACCTGGTCTCAAAATAAAAAATGAAAAGGGCCAGGGGCATAGCTTAGTGGCATAGCACCTTTAGTTTTATGCCTAGTATCATCAGAAGAAAAACTGGAAGAAAAAAAAAGCCCTTCTAAGATTAAAATTAAATGTACACAAACATTTTATTATATACAATATAAGAACAAGTTTCATAAGGCAAAGAAAATAATATAAACTGGGGCTGGGGATTTAGCTCAGTGGCATAAGCGCCTGCCTTGCAAGTAGGCAGTCGTGAGTTCGACTCCCGGTACTGATAGAAAAAAGGAAAAAAAGACCAAAAAAAGAAAAAAAAAAGAAAATAATATAAAATATAAACATAATTGGCAGTTTCAAAAAGTCCTTAAATCATGTGACCCTCTCCTAATAACGTAAGCCTTAGAGTGGACCATAAAGCCCTGATTGAAAGCTCTAGGAAGTTCTTTCGTAATAGTAACCTACATATTCTGGAGAAGCTTGTTTTTAGAGACTCTGCAGGCTAAGGTATTTAATCTCAAGAAAGAATGAAATGTTTTCATGTCTAGGGAGAAACAAAAACTGAAAGAAGAGATACTTTCGGAGTGGGTGGAACAGGGGCTGGAGTGGGAGGATGTAGCTTCAGCACTCCTTAGGTTCAAATCCTAGAAAAGAAAAGAAACGAAACTTCTCTGAAGCTCTAAGAAAATTTTGTGAAAAAAGACAGAAAATGACCTGAGAGCCCATCATAGAAAAATCTAGAGAGAAGAAAAAGTAGATTTAACTAAGTCACAACAAAAAATAAATGAGATGTCCTTTTGCAAGGCCACGTCAGAGCTGTTTACCTGTTTAAGTCCAAACCTGAAACAGCATAGCTCCCACACATTTACTATTTAATAACATACAAAGGGGATACAAGGGCTACTTCAGAGGAAAAGCCTGAAACATATTAACCCAACGCAAATCCCCACATGAAACTCAGCTTAATACACTGGAAATTACAGGGATGACCAAAACATGGGAAGATACTAAAGTTAACTACTTTACTAGACTGCCTTGATATAGTTTATTCTTTTTTAATCGGTAGTTAAGGCTCAAATTTTGAGGCTTCTGGTTTTACTGAAATTCTATCTCAAGCCTCAGCTTAACTGAGGATTTTTCTAGGCATGAAGCGGTAACCTGCTTTTCATAACAGAGTGTTCTGCGGTGTCTTCCACTTTCGACCTCTTCACCGGGTTAACGCCTCGGTTTTCTTTGTCTTTTCCGTGTGATTTTTTATGCTGAAGATTTTAAGAAAGAAATTCAGTCAATATAACATTTGATATACACATTCACCATATACTATTTTCAGTTTTCTGGGTTATAAGCAAGAAAGTTGGGCTGGGGATTTAGCTCAACAGCTAAGTGCCTGCCTTGCGAGCGCACAGTTGTGAGTCCAATCCCTGGTACCAAAAAAAAAAGCTGAATCATGAAAACCTTTAGAAAAAGTTCAGCACAAATTTGAGCTAACAACTTTTTTGCTACAGGTGAATTCCTTATTTTACCATGAGTGCAAGCAGTAGGATGAAAGAAAGACTAATTTTTTGCACCATTTTTAAAAACATAAACTTTACTATAGGGGAGTAATTCTCAACAGGGAATGATTTTGCCCCCAGTGGGAATGAAGGTGACATTTTTTATTGTCATCAACTCAGAGTACCACTGATTTTTAATAAGTAGAAGCTACAGATGCTGCTAAACATTATACAATCACCAGAAAAGCCCAAAACAAAGAATTATTCAATTCAAGACATCAGTAGTGCCAAGCAGTGTGGTGCATGCCTGCAATCCCAGCATTCTGAAGGCTGAGGCAGGAGAATCAGCCAAGCCCAGGCTATATAGCAAGCTCAAGGTCAGCCTAAATAGTAAGACCCTATCTCAAAAAGAAACAGATACAAGCCAACATACATCAGAAGCAGCACTTCAACTATAAAATGTAGATACCAATGTCCTACTTAGAGATTCTTACTTTTCTAGGTTCATCTTTCAAAATAGTGGGAACTTTTCTAGGTTCATCTTTCAAAATAGCGGGAAAGAAGCCTGACAGTTTACAGTGCCATGTTTGCAGCAGTGTTCACAAGGTGGGAGGAGAGCTTCCAGGATTTCATCACATATGGTCAGAGCAAGGCACTCAGGGAACACAGGGGGACAATTAACCAGAGAAGAGCCTCAGACATGAAGCTACTCAGAGAATCCAGAGACCTCTAGGGTCTCTATTATAAGCTTCTGAGCCTTCAAAACCTGATGGGGAGAGACAGGCTCCTGGCCTTCCAAGTCAGTGGTAGAAGACAGACAGAAATGACTGACCTCAGTATCCACTCTGACTAAAAAGCAGAAAGGGAGTCAATTTAATAGTCAATGGTTATCAGCCAAGGATAGAAAGTAACGCTCTGCTTTGTTCATATCCCTATCAATATCAGACTATGTAAACAACTTAAATATAAATTAACAAGTCATTTTATGAGAATGACTGACGATTTTTTGTTTCTCTATAGTGAAGCAATGCCTTCCTATAACAGTGAATGACTGACTCAGGCAAAAGGGCTGTCGGAACGATATCCTCAGTACCTGGAAAAATGGAACTCCACCACTTGAAGAACAATCCACACTGGCATCTGCAGGCGGTTTCTGACTTAGAGGTTCTTCAATATACTGCTCCAGAACTTTCTTTGCTTTATTCCTGTCCTAAAATAAGAAGCTAGATGAGTGAATAAGTGCAATAGCTTAAATATCATCACAAAAGTAAGGGTAGGGGCTGGGGATTTAGCTCAGTGGCATAAGCGCCTGCCTTGAGTGTGTGTGATCGTGAGTTCGATCCCTGGTACCGATTAAAAAAAGAAAAAGACAAAAAAAAAAAAAAAAGTAAGCAGTTTTCTTTTTTGAATATGGTATGATGTACATTATAGGTCAACCTCAACAATAGTTGACAAAGCAATAAATACAATCTGCTATGTTTTTATAGAGAGCACAGCCAGGTGTGTGGCTCACATCTATAATCTCAGCACTCAAGAGGCTGAGGCAGGAGAATCGCCATGAGTTCAGGGCCAGCCTGAGCTACACAGTGAGTAGAAGGCCACCCAGAAGACTATGCCTCAAAAAACTGAAGTAAACAAATAAAATCTTAAAATAGGTAATCTAATAATAATAGGATTACAATTTACTTTTATTCTTTGTTACTTTCTAAATGCTCAATTTTTCTATAATTATTCACTACAGGGTAAAAATTGTAGGCTTGACTATTCTAAATGCAACTCTATCTTTCCTCACAGGGTTATTGAAAAAACTACCTTAACATACATATAAAGAGCTTAGAACAATGTATATGGCAAATAATAAGTACAATTTAAACACTGGCTATTATTACTATCTACTAGTCTTTTTTTTTCGTTTTCTTTTTCCTTAAGTTTCTTCCTGAGTCTTGAGAATCCCTCTCCTTTCCTCTAGTCTTCTAAATTCTAGCATCTGAGCTGTTTCTCTCAGAGAGGCTCTTTACCTTGCTACTTATCAATCCGCCATTCTCCCCCCCCCCATCTACTAGTCTAATATTTAAAAACAGACAAGGTTAAAATGAGAGGCTTAGTTGTAAGATACAGGGTAGGACTGAAGGGTGAAAAGTAATATTCTTCCCATGAAACCGATCACACGGAGAATTTCCATGAGAGACCCAAAATGACGCTGTAAGTTTTACCTGACTGTTCTCTTCTTCTTCTTTGTTGTTTTCTGAACAGCTTGGCATCATTAACAGCTCGGGTTTCTCCTTTCTCAACCGATCAAGGAGCTGTTCTCGTGGTTCAGTTCTCACCAGTGTTGATGGGTATAGATAACGTTTCCTCTGTGGTGTGGTACCTTTTGCAGATATTAGATAAGTGAGGAAAATTGAAGTATACAAACAAGATTTACAAGAAAATATGCTAAAACTTATACTTCGAAATGAGTCTTGTCTTCCAAAAGTATAACCACTTTTGGACCATCCATGAGAATCGGTCGTCCTACCTGTCAGGAACATGCTGCTTGCGGTTAGAATATTCTCTAGTTTGGTAACTGATCTTAAACAGACTTGTCAATATCTCCAAAATGGGAAGCTTTCTATTTCTGAAGATTTAAACCAAAGATGTGCTGTGGGCTCTCAATGCATTATGCATGTTTGTGAGAATGGAAGCATTATTGGACCCTAACAGCAGTTTTCCTCAGATGGTTTCTTTGCTCAGAAGTCATAGAACTATAAACGTGGCATGGCAATGAAATATTAACTACACATTTCTTTATGAGCTCATGCTGTTTTAATTTACAAAGATGCTTGTCTTTCCACTTAACAACATTCCTAATGTTGAGGGAACAATATATCCTTTGGGATTTTTCTCATTTTTTTGAAATAGGGTCTTGCCATGTAGTTCAGGCTGGCTTTGAACTCACTCTGAGCCCAGACTAGCCTCGAAATCATGGCGGCAGTCTTCCTGCCTCCGCCTCCTGCCTGCTGGGTTTACAGGTATACACCACCACACCAGACTAAACAATAAACGTTATAGCTCTACTGGGGAAAAAATAAGCCACTATTCTTTATAATTTGCTTTTTTTTTTTTTTTTTTTTTTGGTACTGGGAATTGAACTCAAGACTTTGCACTTGCCAGGCAGGTGCTTGGGACACTACAATTTGCTTTTAGAATGTCTTTTTTTTTAAAGCTTTGAGGTATAACTTACATGCCAGAAAACTCCCTCATTTTTAAAGGCATACTTCATGATTTTAGTGAATTTAAAGGTTATACAATTATCATAATTCAATGAATAACCTCCCAATTAGTTATGCTGTATAAAGCAAATTCTTATAACCTTGTTCCACAAAGGATTCCCAGAATACTTATAGCTTACTAATTTTGGCAATGCCTGATCTGTCAAAGTGGTGATTCCTGAAAGTCAACAATCCACAGTGATCCCCAATCTTTCAAAATGGAGATTCCCAAATGCTATCAGTTAAGAGGGACACATAAAATGTACAATGTGGTGAATAGTCTATTAAACTACATTTATTCAATGACATTTCTACAATTGTTGTATTAAAATATCTTTTTACAATGAATCCTATAGGTACCTACAGGTAGATGATTTGTCAGTTTGATTTCTGTTTTAAAAATGTCTCATCTAGCCAGACATGGTGGCACATGCCTGTAATCCCAGCACTCAAGAAGGCTGAGGCAGGAGGATCACCACTGAGTTGGACGCCAGTCTGAATTATATAGAGACTCTGGCTAAAAACAAAACAAAAATAAAATAAAATGTCTTTTCTCAACAAAGTTAGTTCCTTGAATGTAAAATTTTACTAAATTATGATGCCCAAATTTCTAAAAACACATATTATCTTTATCAAGATATCAAACACTTGATGAAAACTATTTTGGGTTTCCAACTTTTCCATATTTGAATTGATTACAATGAAATCATGAATTCCAATTAGGCAATGAGCAGATCTAGTCTTAACACCTAAGACTGAAGAACTCAACTTCAAAATGTTAAATAATTCTATCCCCACCCCTCTTTTTTTGGTACTAGGGACTGAACTCATGACCTTGCACTTATCAAATAGGTGCCGGCTGCTGAGCTATATCCCCGTCCCCGTTTCCGTTTTAACATACCTGTGGGGATATCCAGTTTGAGATCTTGCTGCAGAAAGGAATGAAGCTTAGTCAAACCCAGTTTTGTAACTTCAGTAAGTTCTAGATTTTGTGCCAACAAATTTTCTTCATCAGTTCTTATCTGGCTAAGAAAAACACAGTTCTGGTTCTCATTTTCTGCTTTATGTCCATTTAATTTTTCCATGATTTCTGACTTGGAAGTCTCCCAATGTCCGTTTATACCCTGTACAATGTAAATAAGGAATCATTATTAAAATAAAACTGCTAGTACTTTAGCCAATATATCATTTTCCCTTATCCTGACATTTCCACAAATAAAAGTCTCAAGAACACAAATAAAAGGAGAAGGAACAGATAAGGCTAATGTATCTTAAGTATGGCCCTAACTTTTCAAAGCAAAAAGGTCTATTCTTTTTTTTTTTTTTTTTTTTGTCTTTTTCCTTTTTATCGGTACCAGGGATCAAACTCACAACTGCCTGCTGCAAGGCAGACGCTTATGCCGCTGAGCTAAATTCCCAGCCCCAAAAGGGCCTATTCTTAATCATTGCTCATCTTAATAGAGTATGTCAGGCAAACTCAGATTTAAAGTTTTCTACTCATAGATCAAAATTATTTTTCTTGTCCTTAAAAAAGTTGTTGAAGAGGGGCTGAGCTAAACCTCAGCGGCATAAGCGACTATCTGGCAAGCACGAGGTCGTTAAGTTTGCCAGGTACAAAACAACAGCCACAACAACAGCAACAACAACAACAAAACACCTTGTTGAAGAACCCAGACCTCTATCCTAGTGAATATCTCTACTCTGAACATGGCAAATTGTATCTCTCTGTTGTATTTTCAATATAAACTGGTTAGACATAAAGTCTTGATCTAGTTCATATGTAATTTCTGAAAATATTTTGTAAGTGATACTGAAAGTACGTAATACCTGATTATATCTCCTGTGTAAGTGGATCCAGGTGTGATTACCATTTAAGAAAGTTTTCTCTAAGGCCCACCCTACCTCAAGCATTTGATCAAATGATTTAAGCAATCATTAATGGCCACAGAGGCTATTTCACTGGAAGCTGCAAAGTCATAATATTCTATGACTAGTATAATAGAAGTTATACTATTTCTTCTTCATCTCACTAGCTGATGGTCTATTAAATATTTTTCTTCACCAATTATCCTGCTAAATCAAATATATTTGTTTTGGCAAAGACAGATGTTCTATTTTATTTACCACCTTGCCAAATAACATGTTGCTTCTCTAGTATGCCATGAAATTCTTTAAGTCTTAATATGTTTGAATCCCCCTCCATCCTCTAGTACTGGGGATTTAATCCAGGGTCTCTGCACTGAGCTATATGCCAGGTCCTTTTGTTTTTTGAGTGTCTTGCTTATGTAGGTAAATTGTGTAGAATGGTCTTGAACTTGTAGTCCTCCTGTCTCAGCCTCCCAAAGTGCAGAGATTACAAGCATGTGCCACCAAACCTGGCTTTGACGTGTTTTAATCATTGTAATCACTACTCTTTCTGATGCTCAAATTATATCTTTGAGCAAGGAGAGTATCATGAAATAGTCTACTGTCTTTCTGACACAACCCCAGGAGTCTTTAATAGTTCTCACTTTCTGGTATGATGAGCTGTCTAGGCTCATCACTTCATGCATTTTTAAAAAAATTTTATTTAAAAGGAAAAAGAAAAAAACAAAACAAAACAAAGCAGTGTAAAGGTACAAGTAATACAGAACTACAAAAAAAAAAAAAAAAAAAAAGAAAGCAATCACCAGTTAATAGATTACACTTTATCATCTTAGAGACAGTTGCTCAAGCCACTTCATGCATTTTTTAAATTAGCTATTTCTCCATGAACCCTGATTCTTTTTATTTTAATTTGGTTATATAGCTTAGAACACTTAAATTCCTTTAGATGTATAAAAATAAAATAGTTTTATTTCTCAGAAAGGAAACCCATTGTTATGGATTAAAAACTGGTGGTCAACTTAATGCCAGCTAGATTACATCAGCACTGCACTAAGTGTAGATGTCCCACCTGAGCAAAGTTGCCAGCATTAACAGAGATGTAGAGAAGGAAAAGCTATCACACTGAGGCATTGTGGGTTCTCCTATGTGTTGCTGCTGAGCCTAAAGAAGCTCTGGTCCTCACATTAAGCATTGCTTCCCGGCTCTGGAGAGGAAGACATATGCCGCTTGGTCTCTAGGGTGAACTCATCATGCTGGCTTCCTGACACGTACTCAACTGTGCTTGTCATCAGAAAAGCTTGGGGCCTTCGTGTTGCTGAGCATGGCTGTGGTGCTTCTTAGGGCAGCCGTGGTCTTTGTTGTGAGTGTGACTTCTTGTCTCCAGTGTAGAACACTCAACTTACAGCACAGCTCCTTCACCCCGCTAGCATAGGCTTCCTAGCTTCCATTGCTGACCTTTGGGCCTTCCTAGCACAGATCCGTAAAAGAGACTGGTGTGAGTCCTTCTTGTGGGCTCTAGACCTCCAGTTGGACTCGTGGGAGGCATTGTCAATGAGTTCTGGGTCTTCATCTGGACTCATGTGGGACATTGCTGTGGGATTCAGGCCCTTGGCTAATTATTCTATGTCTTTAGTGTTATGGATAGATTTCCTGCATTTTCTTGTGTTAACTCTGTGTGGCCATCATAAAATATTATAAACTCCATGTTCTGATTCTAATTGTTCTCTGTACAACCCCTAACTACAACACCCATTCCACAAAGAGTTTATAAAAAGGAAAGGCATGAGATGTCCAAAGAGTACCCTTCTCCAAAGAAGCTTATAAGTCAAAATGCAAGGACAGACACAGGCAGACATTAGACAAAGGGTAAATTAATTTTGAGATCCGGAAGACATACACCAAAGCATATAGGTAAGGGCTTTGAGTCATTCGTTACCCTTAAAATATAACTTGTTTTGAAACCAAGTGTAAACCAGAATATTTAATTATCTGGTTATAACTATTCTCCTCAAAGTAGGTTCCAGGTACAAAGTTATTACCTCCAATAAACTCTGAAGCTCCTCTTCCTTTTTGTTTAAGGAAGCTATCCACTGTTCTGAAAGACAAACTGTATTCATGTTCAGAGATCCACATCTCTGTTCAGTTTCTTGAGATATTTTTTCCAGGTTGGTGCTGAGTGTATCACACTGTTTCACAGACTGCTCAACCAATTTTGAACCTTCTTGGTTAAAACGTCTGAGTTTTTGTGATAAGCCATCAAAATCAGCACAGAATTTGTTACTGTGAAAAGTTGCTGTGCTGACTATATCTTTAGATTTCCTACAGGGGAAAAAACAGAAAACAAAACAAAAAAAAAAATTGTAGAAACCATAAAGTGGGATGTACAGCCTTCCAGCGATCATCCAGCTCCTCAATGGCAGACTGAATACACTGAAAACATGCAATGTGATTTCACAGCCCATCCTCTTACTGAACCTAAACTGAGAATCATGCTTTGATCAATGTGCTTTCCAGCAGACTGCCATCACTCTACCATTAAATGACCCTTAAAAAGGTCTTTACTTATCACACCTTTCTTCGTCCTCCTCCACATGCAATGCCTTCCTTTGTATCTCTGCTGCAGTATCTGATTATGTTATCAAAATGGTCAGTTCTATCATTCTATCATGCCCCTTTACCTATGACATAAAATATTACGAACATCATGTTATTTTAAAATTTAAGTATAAAGCTTTCTAATAGTGAAAAGCAAACTGTAGCAGGGTATGACACTTCGATACAGCACATATCATACATAAATGACACAAACACTGAAGTCAGTTGGGAAATGCATTTAAATTTTACAGACTTTTTCCTCTCAGTAAGTTTCACTCAATAGCACTCACAGCCATCTCACAGGACCACAAATTTAAACCTCAGGGAATGAAATTCATCCATTACCATGAGCTGGTATGCCATGTGAGTAAACCAAGTTAAGATACACAAAAATGTTAAAAACCAACATCTACAGATTAAGTGGCAATAACCGAAAAAAGAAAAGAAAGTAATATGACACCAACATAAATCACTCTCTTTACAAAATTATGACCTAGTGGTAAGATAGGACTTCGTCAAAATAACTAAGAACCAGGCGTTGGGGATATAGCTCAGTGGCACAATGCCTATCTGTCAAGGGTAAGGTTGTGAGTTTGATCCCTGGTACAAAAATAAATAAATGAATGAATAAATAAATAAATAAAGGCCAGTCACAGTAATCATGTTTGGTGTACTTCATAATTATTGCTTAGATTCTTGGATGATCCTGATAACCCCTGGACACCAAGAAATGCTGGGGTAGACAGTAAAATGTCAGGAACTTTATGAAAGTATATCATAATTCCAGTCCCTACCTCAAGCCTACTAAAAAAGACTTAAAAGGGGAAGGGGAAACAGTGCTCAGGATTGAATCCAAGGCCTTCCCACTGAGCTACAGCCCCAGCCCATTGCTCTTTTTTTTGGTACTGGGGCTGAACTCATGACCTTCTGCTTGCCAACCAGGGGTTTACATTGCCGAGTTAAACTCTTGGCCCTGTCTCAGCCCACTTTTTATGTTGAGAAAAGGTTCTTTTAAATTGTCCAAGTTGGTTTAAAACTTGCCATCCATCTGCCTCAGTCTTTCATAATGCTGGGACTACAAGCATGCACCTCCACACCCGGATTAAACAGGATCTTGAATCTCCTCACATAATATCCAAAATGTTCAAGACACAACTAAAAATTGTTCCTGTTTAGAACCAGGAAAATCACAAGTTAAATGAGAAAAGACAATCAATAGATGCCAATAATAGGATAATTTATATCCTGGCATTATCTAGCAAGGATTTAAAAGCAACCACCACAAAGATGCTTCAGTGAACAACTAAAACACTTATGAAAATGTACTAGCAAAGAAACAGAAGGTATAAAGAGACAAGCCACTTGTAGTTCCAGTTAGCCCACAGTTCAGAGGCAGCCTGGGCACTTTTGTAAAACCCCATCACAAAGGAAAGCCATGAAACTAAGGTACAATGATGAGCCAGGCATCGTGGTGTACATCTGTAATCCCAGCACTTGGGAGGTTGAGGCAGGAGGGCTGCCGCCAGTTTGCGGCTACCCTGGGATTTACAATGAGTTCAAGGTCAGCCTGAACTACAGAGCAAGGCCCTGACTCAAATAAGAAACAAAGACAGATGGACAGACAAGACAAGACAGACAGATGCAATAGTGAAATAAAGTATCTTTTTGAATGAGTTCAACAGTAGTTAGATATGACAGTGGCAAACTCGGTGAACTTGAAAACAGATCAATGGAATTTACCCAATTTGAACAATACAAAGATAGATGAGTGGGTAGGTAGATAGAGATGGATAGATAGGACCTAGTGGGCTATAAACAAAAGATCTAACATTTATCAGTCATAGAAGCAAAAGGGAAAGAGTATGGATGGGGCTGAAGTATATTCCAAGAAATAATAGGTGAAAATGACTCAGTTTTGATGAAAGGTATAGCTTGAAAATTTAAAGCTAAACAAAACCCTAAGATACAATACCATCAAATTTCTTCTTCTTTTTTTTTTTTTTTTGGTCTTTTTTTCCTTTTTATCAGTACCGGGGATCGAACTCATGACTGCCTGCTTGCAAGGCAGGCGCTTATGCCGCTGAGCTAAATCCCCAGCCCCAATACAATCAAATTTCTAAAAAACAAAGACAAAATCTTAAAAGCAGCTAACGAGAAACTGCCTATAGGGGAACAATTAATTTGAATATTAATGAGTTTCAGGTTTGTATGCCAGAAAGAAATAAAACATACTGCAAATACTGGAAGAAAAAAACTGTCAACCCTGAATTATATGTCCAAGAAAAATATCAAGAATGAAGAGGGCAATCAAAACACTCTTAAAGAAAAACAGAATTTGTCGCCAGCACACCAACCCTTAAAGCTCTCTACTCTGAAGGAAGCTTGGAAATTCAGGAAGGAACAATTAAAAGCGCAAAACCAGGAATAAATAGAATATCTTCCTCCTCATAATTTAGAGCATCCAAAGGCTAAAAAAAAGCAGCTTGACAAAACACACACACATACCCCTTCTTTGGCTCACAGATTTAAGTACCAAATACAGGGTAGGATTGTAGCTCAGTGGTACATCCCCTGTCTAGGGGTGAGGCCTTGGGTTTAATTGCCAATACCTCAAAATACAGACAAAAAAAGAAAACTTAAGTTTAACTGGAGGTGTATAAGGATGTGGGACTAGCAAGTGACAAGGTTATAAAGCCTCACCAAACTCTAGTGTAGAAATCAGCCAAGTGTTTCTTCAAATGTTAGATAGTAAGTATTTCGGGTTTGTAGTGTGTGACTGATGCAATGGCGGCTCTGCTGTTACAGCACAAATGCAATCAAAGGCAACACGTTAAGCAAACAGGCATGGCTGTGTCCAGCGAAACTGTAATCACAGTCATCCAGCAGAGACAGTATACCAAATCCTGCCCCACCGCTGTGTTTTTTCATCATCAGTGACATGAGATAGAAATTATGAAATTACTTAATGTGAAAGATTAAAGAAATTAGAAAATATCCTGTCAGTGAGAGGCTAGGAAGCATAGAAATGGAATAGAAAGATATTTATATCTGTATACAAACACACAATGCATAAAAACCATTAACAAATGAGAAATTTGGTTAAAACTATACAGGAGTTATACTCTTTGAAACTTGTTCTTCTGAAACAATTTTAGTTTTACAGAAAAGTTTCCAAGGATTTAAAATAGCTTACTGCTTTGTATTTTCTTGAACACTACTGAGTGGTTTCTGGATGTTTTCACATTTTTCCTCCAAAGTACAGAATCTCTCTGCCCAAAGATTCATGAACTGGCAAAGCTCCTATAAGAAATATGGAGGAAAGCAAAGAGACTTGAAGTTATGCATTCGAGTACTTTTCCATATATGACTGATGATGTGAAGTATTCTCCCACAGGTGAGAATTATACAAATTCTTGACAAGAGATCTTTAACTCTACCTTTAATATAGAGCAAATCAGTGAATATGATATTAAAAGGATATTATAGGAATTTTTTAAAAATTAGAAAGTTGTTATTTTAATTAGTAACAAATTATTTTTATTAAATGTCAAAATTAATCAAACATGCTCAGATGTTATATTTATGTTTGAGAACTAGTTTGACAGATATGTATGGTTGCTTTTTAACAACTGATAATACTACAAAAGAGAATTAATGCTGATAACTTCATTGGTCAAGCCGTCAAAAATTATCAACCCCAGTTGAAGAAATTTTACAGAATCTAGCTGGGGCCAGGGGTGGTGATGCAGGCCTGTGACCCCAGTACCGAAAGGCTGAGGCAGGAGGTTCACCATGTGTTCAAGGATAACCTGGGATACATAGTTTAGGACCAGCCTGAATTAGAGAGTGAGAGAGACCCTGTCTCAAAAAGACAAAAAAACCAAAAACAAAAACCTAGAATCTAGTTGGGTCATACTAATAAAAATACATTGTTATGTTTGCTCACAGTTGATATCTTTAAAAACAATTTACAGCCACAAAACATGCTACACTGCAAAATGAAGAAACTATAGGAGGAGCTGAAAATATATTCAGGACTTTTATTCATTGTTCAGTTGACTGTTTTAACACATCAGATAACAAGGCACATGTAATATTCTGATTAGGAAAAACTGATGATATTTTCTTTTCTTTTCTTTCTTTTTTCTTTGGGTCTTTTTGAGACATGGTTTCACTATGCAAGTCAGTCTGGCCTGGAACTCACTTTGTAGTCTGGGCTGGGCTTGAATTTGCAGCAATCCTCCTGCCTCAGCCTTCTGAGTACTGGGATTACAGGCATGCACCATCATGCCTGGCTGGTATTTCATTAGTCTTTTGTGTTTCTTTGAGATGCTCTCTTGATTTGTAGTTCAGACTGGCCTCACAGCAATCTTTCTGACTCAACCTCCCAAGTGGTGGGATTATAGGCATGTACAACCATGCTCTGTTTTATTAGTATTAAAGTAGAAAGTAATACAGATATTATCAAATTTATCTTCATATAAATTTCTGTTCAAAATTTACATAATTGCCACACATGATGGCTGTAATTTCCAATTGCCAAAAATATCTAGAACATACACACACAAATGCATGCCTGTCAAGCAACACAATCTCTACCAAGGTGAATCACTAGTAAAATGAACTAGATATAACTGCGGCTCCTAAGATCTCATTTTCTTCATTAGAAAAATGAACAAGTCATAGAATCTGTATCTGTGGAGATAGGATGAATAAACACACAGTGGGTTCTCAGTAAATGTAGACCATTATTTTTATTAATTTCTGTTATTCCTTATGCTTATGAGAACAACTAATATTCTTAGTTATTTCCACTCCCTAGATAATCTTATTTTCAAATTGTTTTCACTTACCTAAAAAGCTTAGGTGTGTTTATCCTCTCATTTTCTAAGACATGCATAGGAATTCCTTCCACATTTTGCCAAGGAAAAGAACTCTTTCCTACTCCATAGATCACATCAAGTTTTATTGAGCGTTGTCAAATCTTTTTTTTTTTTGGTCTTTTTCGTTTTTATCGGTACCGGGGATTGAACTCACGACTGCCTGCTTGCAGGGCAGGCGCTTATGCCGCTGAGCTAAATCCCCAGCCCCGTGTTGTCAAATCTTAATAGGCTCATTTAAATAAAACTTCAGTATTCATTATCACTAAAGTCTTAAGAGTAACAGAAGCTTCCTAGGTATATAATATAATCAATTATGGTTTGAAGGCTTGGGTTTGGTTTAAAACCTCATATACTTAGGCATAGTTTACATAAATAAAGATAAATTATGAATTATTTTCATTCATTTGAATATAAGATGATGGCTATCATCAATGAGACAAATAGAAAACAAAATGGGTATGGTGGCACACTCCTGTAATCCCAGTACTTGGGAGGCTAAGGCAGAAAGATCACTGCAAGTTCAAAACCAGACTGGGCTACAAAGTGAGCCCAAGGTCAGCCTGAACCACACAGCAAGACCCTATCTCAAAAGACCACAAAAAAAAGCAGAGAAAACAGCTTGATTTATAAATTATAACTATCAATGTCATGCTGGAAAGAAACAACTTATACTATAAGTTTACTTTAAATGTTATAACCATATTCCTATGAAAATATGCTTCTTCTCAAATCTGTCATCTTGGTATGTGGAAGGATTGTTTTCTTTGACACATGGCGCTTTATCTTAAGGAGCTCTATGTGCAGCAAATTTGCAAGTATTAATTCATCAAGACAAGTATTCTCAATTATTTTAATTAATTATTGTTACAAGGAAAAGAAGCTATGGTACCTTTCAGGGTTCTAAATGAGAATTAAACCACTCAGATTCTATAACATTGGTTGAGTTATATTGATTATCACAAAACATTTTTACACTTTTCTATCAGCTATACAAAATACCTGTGAATGGGCTTGCTTTATTGCTTTCACTTCTTCAGTTAAGGTTTCACAAAGCTTCTGTGACTCAAACAAGGAAGAAACTGTACTCTCTTGTAGTTCATGTAGATTGTTACACAATATACTGAGAAAGTCATCCATTTCTTTTTTTTGATCTTCTATCTTTAAAGGGAAAAAAATTAGCTTCTTAAATAACTCATCAACGCTGAGATATTAAGAATACAATAAGCCGGGTGTGACACACACTTGTCATCCCAGTACTATGAGGGTAGGCTGGAGAATTCGATAAATTTAAGGTGGGCCTGGCCTACATAGACTGAGATACACAGTGAGACACTGTGTCAAAACACAAAACAACATTTGTTACCTTTTCAGCCTCTGTCAATGAAGTCTTGAAAATATGCTTGAGTTGACTATTGATTTTCAGTATGGCTATCACAGTAGGGGATAAAACCGTTTGCAGTGAATGTAGAAGGTCAGTTGTAAGTTCATTCTAGTTTTAAAAATAAACAAGTTTTTAAAAAGAAGATCTTTACTTCCCTAAATCTAGTTGGCTAAATGATATCTTAAATACTTAACAACTAAACATGCACATTAAAACTCTAAATTGAGGGGCTGGAGGTTTAGCTCAGCGGTATAAGTGCCTGACTTGCAAGCAGGCAGTCATGAGTTCGATCCCCAGTACCGATAAAAAGGAAAAAGACAAAAAAAAAAAAAAAACCCTCTAAATTGACATTCTTTAAAACTTACAGATGCGTATTTTTGTATGTAGTTTATATTCAGCATAAGTCACTTAGGGCTGCCTTTAGTATTTAAGAAAATAGTATATAACTTATTATAATCCAGTGGCAGTGAACCTATGCCCTATGGCACATAAGCTACAGTGGACTGTGTGTACTAGTGAAAGCTCTAAATGGTTCACCATCACTGTTACAGTCTAATGAAACAGAAGTCAGAAATGAGACGAGGAGAAAATAATAGTTAACTGGTAAGATTTCAGTATGCCAAGCAAAGGAAAAAATTTCAAAACCTACAGGTAGATTTGAGTAAAATAAATTTCAAGCAACTTTCGCTAACTAGTCAAAAAGACTGAGTCCAAATAGTTGTCAAGAGTAGGGTTTGGGCTGGAAGAAGACTTAAGGACATTTAGCCGTTTAGTATCAGAACTTGAGACTGTTCTGGTTTTGCCAAGTACATGAAAACTTGAGGGTGCAGATTGGCAAGTTTTATTTTAAAAACAGAATAAGCTCCTGGTATTAAGGCAGTAAAACAGAAATAAATAATAGAATAATCTAAATCACAAATTAATTAGTGAATATTTAGAATTTAGGCAATGGATCAACTAACATTTGCAGTATTTACTTAGAAAATGCTTACTAGGTCATGGGAAAAACCTTACAGTTAAAGCTCAGAAGAGGCCAGCCACATACATCTAACCCTGACAATTATTATATGTATTTCCAGTATCTTATTTGCTATTTTTAATGCATTGCTTGCACATATTGCTTTGCTTTTAACATATTGCTATTTCTATCACCTGTTACTGTAACTTAAAAAATAACTACCCAGCACCCTCTTCTGGTTGGGTTAGTGTAACATGAATACTCCATCGCCTATGGAATAAAGATTTTCAGTTAACTAACAAGTTATGATGGACCCCTTAAACTCATCTGGAGCCATGTCTTTCCTTTAGTCATTATAAGGTTTACTACTAACTCCTGTTCTTAACCACATTACATACGACTGAAAAAGTTTAAAAGAGGGCTTGGGGCCTCGGTGTGGTGGCACATTCCTGTAACCACAGCACTAGGAAGGGGAACCCAGACCAGTCTGAGCTACACCGTAAGTTCAAGGCCAGCCTGAACTACATAGCCAAACCCTGTCTCAAGAAAAAAAAGTAGTAGTAGTAGAAAGATATATCTCTCAAATGGGAAGGGGTAAGAGATGGGAGAGAAGGAAGAGAAGGGGGGTTAAAAAAGGAATTAAGATGTGTTAGGAACCAAGGAATGTAAACATTACATACTACCAACATGTACTAAAATTAAAAACAATAAAAATCTAAAAAATAAACATACTTGCACAGTGATACATCTGTCACTGTACTAACAAAGCTTAACATGAAAGAATAAACATTGTGAAAATTCATCAAATGTGACTCAGAAGATTTTAAAAGAGATTCACTAACAATCAATTTCTGCAGTACAGTTTTACTTTCTGCTGCTAGTGATCGTTCTTCTAATATCATATTAGAAATTCGAGAAACATGACTCGACACATTTTCTGAAATAGATGTGAAGGATCCAAACGCTGTTGTAGCCCAAGAATCCAATGCGGACATACTAGAAGATAGCAGATCTCCTATCACAGGAAAGAAAAAAAGAGATAAACTTTGGCAAAATGAAATGTATTTAAATTCAATTAGAACCACTCCAAGATGTTGGCAAAATTATATCCTTCTGGAATTTTGTTTGGCTTTTCTTTTCTTTCTTTCTTTTTTTCTTTTGGCACCGGCCGGCAATCAAACTCAGGACCTTTCGCTTGCTACGCGGGAGCTGTGCCACTCAGCTATATCCCCAGCTCTGGTTTGGCTTTTCAAAACAAGGTCTCACTGCATTTCAAGCCTGCCATGAATTCATACCAATCCTTCTGCCTCTGTTTCTCAACTGTTGGCTGGAATTACAGGCATGTGCCACCATGCCTGGCTGTTGTGGACTTTGTAATAACAAATAAACTTAAAAGAAATAGCTCACTGGGAAAAAAGAAAACAAAAAGACTCACTATACAAGCAAGGAAAGATATATATGTTCTACAGCTTTCTGTAAGCTCTCAACTTATTTGTAAAAGTATTAGACTCTTAATTAAAAGTCAGTCAACCAGCAATTAGAATATTCTGAAATTATTCTCTAACTAAAAGTAGTACACATTATAGTAGATTAAAAAAAAGTAGAGAAAACAAACAAGAACTAGAAATCAATACCAAAATTCATAGTGGAGATAGAACATGATTAGTGTCTAAGTAGCCATTTAACTTTTACAGTCTTGGATCTTCCAAAATTTCTATAATGGTATTTTTGTAATATGTAAAGTAACACTTAAAGAGTTATCATTCTAAAAGGAAACATAACGCAGTGGTTAAAAAAATTATATATATATATACCTATAGATATATATAGACAATACAGCAAACTTTCTTTTTTTTTGTCTTTTTGAGACAGGGTCTCGCTATGCAGGTCAGGCTGGTTTTGAGCTCACTTTGGAGCCCAGGCTGGTCTTGAACTCACAGTGATCCTCCTGCCTCAGCCTCCCCGAGTGCTGGGATTACAGGCATGAGTCACCACGCCCGGCAATACAGGAAACTTTCAATATATATATATATTCCCAAAAGAAAACAAAATTACAGTTTATACAAAAAAAAAAAAAACCAAGATGCTATATAAAAAAAAGGTTGACCAACAATTACATACTAAATGATTCCATTAATATAAAATACTAGAAAATCTACAGTGACACAAAAAACAACAGCTTTGTGACATAATACATAATCCTCTTTTTTTCAGAGGACAAAAGAACAAGACCTAAGAAATTTAATAGTAGTACATATAAGGAATGAGCAAAGGTCAGGGATAAAGGGGGAGTTCTAAGATTTGTTTTAGTTCAAAGAAAATAAAAGCCACAATTAATTAAATTAACCTAAATGATACGTGCCGTAGGGAGCATACCAGTGACCCTGTCATCAGTGTTATCCACTATTTTTAGTTTGGAAATTAGCCTTACATGAAACATATAAAGACCAGAGTAATGAGAAATGCTTGGCCTTACCAAACAAGGTCTTGTGAACTTCTAGCATGGCCTTCTGTTTTGTGTTGCCATCCTTAATTAATTCTTCCATATTATTAAACAGATTCTTCAGGTTTTTGCCAAAAACATTCTGAGCTTCTGCATTATGTTGCTCAATTGCCTTCTTACGATCCAGTTTGGAATGGAGACCAGATACAACTTTTGTAGTTTCTTCAACTGTGTCAAGTAACTATACAAGAAATTTTAATATAAATGTTAAGACAAAAATAACTCAGGATCGTATTATATCTGATGGCATGGGCAGCTATTTCAAAGACAACAAAATATATTATTGTAGCCATTGTTGATCTCCTAGTATTTTGTTTTAAAGTCCGCTATCGTTTTGCTTTGATTTGGCTTTATTCTGCTGTTTTATGATGTCTGATAGTATGGCCAGCTATTTTGAACATGAAACATTTTGGTAACTAGGACTAATTTCCTTATCTTGTTTTGAAGTCCTGTATCACTTTCACTATTTTGTTTTGATTGGCTTCATTCTGTTTTGTTTGGTTTTACTCTTTTTAAAAAAAATATCCCGGAGGATCACTGTGAGTTCAAAGCTAGCCTAGACTACATGGTAAGTTCAAGGACAGTATGAACTACATAGTGAGACCCTGATTTAAAAAAAAAAACAATAAACCAAAAACTGGTATTTGATGGACTTGAGGATTTCTACTACTGAGAACTCTTAAGTTTTACAAACCGTTTTAAAAGAAATACTCTTATGCTAATCTACCTAGATGCCCAGAAATGTTTTATTTCCCTTTTCATAGCCATCTATGTAAGGAAAATTGATTTTGCAAATTTAGGGTAGTTATTAAGCTTCTTCACAGATTTTATTTCTGCTGTTTTATCATTATTCAAAAGTACACTTAACAGCCTAATAAAAAATTTAGTGCTTTGAATACCTTCCTCCATTAGAAGTTACTAAGTTCTTTTCATTTTGTTTGTTTTTTGAAATAGGTTCTCACTATGTAGTTCAACCTAGTCTCAAACTTGTCACAATCCTCTTGCCTCAGGCTTCTGAGTGCTGGGAATACAGGTGTGTGCCACCATCCTTGGCCAGAAATTACTAAATTTTTAATGGCTGTTTAGTTTTAATCATTTCACATCATTACTCTAAGTGTTCACCAAATACAAAATTGTGCTCTCTTGTCGAAAATCAAGGTGTGAGAGCCGGGCATGGTAGCTCATGCCTGTAATCCCAGGATTCGAGAGGCTGAGGCAGGAGGATCATTGTGAGTTCGAGACCACCCTGTGCTACAAAGTGAGCTCAAGGCCAGAATGAACTACATAACGAGACCCTGTCTCAAAAAGACAAAAACAAAACAAAACAAAACAAAACAAAACAAAACAAAAAACCAGATGTGGTTTGTTTTCATTTTTGTTCTTAAGTTAACACCTCCAAAGAGAAAACTATGGACAGGACAGTAAAAGTGTATTTTAAATTGACAGACTAACCTTGCTGGCAGTATCATGAAGTTTCTCCTCATTGCTTTCCAAAGTTGATGAAATATATTCTTCTTTAATAAGTTGCAATTTAGTTTCTTGCAAATGTTTCTGAGTACTTTCAAGTTCCTGTGTCTTATTTTGCAGGTCAGATTTACACTGGTAAAGTGCATTTTTATTATCCATAAACAACTCTGTAACCTAAGTACATAAACATATTTCCCTTTTTATAAATTTTTAATTTCATCTTTTAACCCAGTGCCTTTACACTGAGCTGTATCTCTACTCATTTTTTAAAGTTAACAATATAAAAAGATTCATGTGAAAATAAGCAACATATGGAAACAAATGGGGAAAATGAGTTGCAGGGAAGATAAGAGAATGGAGAAAAACAAGTCACATCATGTATAGGTACAAATTCTCTATGATGAATGTGATCATTATGCAAATCTAAAACGTACCAATAAAATCTAATTGGAAAAAAAGACTCATGCATAAAGATCCTTCAAAAGGGACTGCAGAAGACACTGTTATGACAAGAGAAGACAGTTCCATGTGTTACTGACCCTGAATATTTTGTAGTGAGACACGCTGCAGAGGTGGAAGATGGTAATACTGATGACCCTCACCTCATGTAGGTCTAGTTAAGGTGCATGTTTATGCTTAGTTTATACAGGTTTGTATAAATATAACCTATAATGTTCGCAAAACAATGAAATCACCTAAAAATGCATTTCAGACTACAAACCAGTAATTAAGCAATGTACAGCTATAATGTCTTATAACACTAACAGAAATAGAAAACTTTTTCATTATCATTGATGACAATAAAATTACGACACAACATACTTTCAAATAAGTCATCAAGAAAAAGTATCTTTTTTTTTTTTTTGTCTTTTTTGAGAAGGGGTCTCGCTATGCAGTTCAGGCTGGCCTTGAGCTCACTTTGTAGCCCAGGCTGGTCTCGAACTTGCAACGATCTCCCCGCCTCAGCTCCTCGAGTGCTTGGATTACAGGCCACCATGCCCAGCTAAGAAAAAATATCTTTCAAAAAGAAAGAAGCACCAGTCCTTCACAGTCTAACATTTTCTTTTAATACTTGCTTTTTATATAACGTTGAATATTGTTCTGATACTTACCCTACTTAGTTCCTCCTCAACAGCACCAATTTTTTCAACCAATTCCACAATCTGCTCTTCTTGAGCAGTTAATTTTCCACTCATGGTTCTAAAATACAGTTTAACAGTTAACATTTTTTCTAAATCCCACAAAATATCAGAATACTTTAAACACAATTATGACAGTTAAACAAACTTGTCTCCATCATGTATCATCAACATAATGACACCGTAGTATTGGTGAGCAATAAATGCAAACTATAAAAAAATTTATTTTTGGTCTTTGTTTTAAATGAAAATTTTTTTTTTTTTTTGTCTTTTTGAGACAGGGTCTCGCTATGCAGTTCAGGCTGGCCTTGAGCTCATTTTGTAGCCCAGGCTGGTATTGAACTCGCAACAATCCTCCCACCTCAGCCTCCCAAGTGTTGGGATTACAGGCATGAGCCACCATGCCCCGCTGGAACATTTTTTTTAACCTCCATTCTGAAACTCAAGTCTTTACCTGTGAAGCGGAAAACATCTGAGTGCGTTATCAAATTTGAAGAGGTGGAAAGCCAATAGAGGACTATAACTAACTTAAAGTAGAGATTGGGAGGGTACTGTATAATCTAAGTGTCTGGAGTCTGGAATATGGAATATAAAAGTGATACTTCCTAACTCAATTGTTGTAAAAGTTTGAGATTTGAAGGCATGAAGTATGCAGGAGAAGGTGAGATTAGAGGCTAAAAAATACCTAGAGGAGTTGATTAAAATTATGTGCGAGCAATACCATCCCCCGAACATAAATACTAGTACCACACCACCACAAGATCAAAGGATTGCTCACTAAAGCAATTTTTCAGTCTTAGCACTACTGACATACCAAATAATTCTCTGTTGTGGAGATATCTTGTGCATTTTAGGATGTCTATTAACATCCCCTATCTGTCCACTAGATGCCAGTAGGACATCCCAGCCCTTGCCGCCGTAATCAAAAAATATCACAAGGCACAGTGGCATATGCCTATAATCAAAGCCCTTGGGAGGCTAAGGTAAGACGATTACAGGTTCAATTCACACCTGGATAACTTGAGACAATGTTTCAAGAGATAAAGAAACCTAAATAAAATACTGGGGATGGGGATGTAGCTACTGCTAAGACCCTGGGTTCAATTTTCAGGGCTACAAAAAAAACAAAAAAAACAAAACAAAAAAAAACACCACACAAAACTCTATGGACGTTACTGAATGTCCTCTAAGAGGCAACCATTTCTTGACAGCCACTGACTACAGCGAGTGCACAAGAACTTCCAGCTTCACTTTGAAGACAATGGAGAGTTGGGAGGAAGGTAGGGGCTGGAAACAGGCATTTACTTGAACATCTACATACTGACTGTTGCTTGCTGAGTATCAGCAGCCAGAATAATCTCTTAGCAATAGACAGGTTGAGTCTTCACAGGAAAAACTAAAAGGCCATGCCCAAAAGAAAAGATCCAACTAGGAAAAAAACTTCAAACAACATGTTACTAGAAAATGCTTCTATTTGGAAATTAAGTCTAAAGACAAAGGCTTACCTAAAATTTTCTTCAGAAATATACACTCCATTTTTCTCACGGGCAGCAGCAAGATCCCGTTTCAGGCGCTCGATCTCTTCTGTGTACTCCTGCGCGACAGGCGTGACGGAGGTGTCAACTTAGCACTTTGCATACAGGTTGGGGAGTACACACAACAAATAAAACAGCAAAAGTATCGTAGAAAGTTATAACTATACTTTTCAATCATACTAAGTTATTTAGAAACAGTTTTTCCAGCCCTTCAGAGCTCCTTTACACACATTCACTACATGTGAACCTTTCTTTTAAGGGCTGGGGACCGCAGCCTAGTGGTAGAGCATTTGCCCGGTGAGAGGAACCATACGGTCCCAGGTTTTCTCTCAGCACTACAGTAGTGACAAGGACAAAAAAACCTTTTGCCAGGCTCAGCTATTGTAAAGACTGTAGTAAGACCTCATAGAAATAATAGCAATGACAAAAAATGCCTCATAGAAGAAATCTAACAAATGTTGTTTAAAAATTGTTTCAAATTTCTTATTTTCACATTTGTCAGACAAGATCACATTACTCCACAAAAATTCATAGTTACCTTAATAAGAGCTTTCTTGGTGAGTTTCTGATTAACTTCAGGTTTATTCAAAATGTTCTTTGCTCTGTGAGCATATTCCAATGTATTCAGAGTTTCCTGTCATGAAAAAAAGTCAATTACTGAAAACTCTGTGAGAATAATGTAGTTGTATCATCTACAATGTACTATGTAACTTACAAGTAATAATGTATGTTTATATCTAATCTAAAAATATATTCATTACAAATACTATTACATGGTCTGGCCTGTAACTTCAGCACTATACAAGACTGAGGCAAGAGGATCCCAAATCCCAGTGAGCAATTCAGCAAGACCCTATCTGAAAGTAAAAAATAAAAAAACCCTGGGGTATAAAGAGTCCTACATTCAGTCTCCAGTAACACACACGTAAACACATCAGTACTACGCTTAACTTTCTTAGCCTTCTTTTTCAACAACTTTCTTTTTACCCTTCTGTTCAATTATCTTTTATTCTTTGTCTTCAACTTCATCCTTATGATATTTTGATCCAATAATTCTTACCTTTGGATTAACCTTAAATTCAATTAATTTAACAAATTAACAAATCCATTTAATGAAGTAGCATTTCACTCATAAAAAGGAATGAGCTATTATGCATATTTGACATGGACGTACCTTGACAAAACATGCTAAACTAAAGAAGCCAGTCATAAAAACACATATAACTGAAATACTGTAGGATGCTATTTATATGAAATGTCCATAAAGGCAAATCAATAGCTACACAAAGTAGTTATAAAGTTGGGTGTTATGGCACATGCCTGTCTTTCCAGCAAATTAGAAGGCTGACAAGAAGGACTGCAAGCTCATAAGCAGCATTAGCAAATTGGCAACAGCCTGTTTGAGACAGACTGACAGACAGACACACACACACAGACACACACACACACACACGAGGGGAAGATAGAGAGAGGGACAGGGAGCGAGAGATAAAACAAGCTAGTCATCCAGCTCAGTAACAGACCAATTGCCTAGCAGGCAAGAGGGCTTCTATTTTACCCTCTACATCCCCTACATTCCCCCAAAGTTAGTAGTATGGAAAATGAAAAGAATGTAAAGTATTTATTGGTAACAATTTTGGAGTAATAAACTGAGATTGGGTCTTGCTATGTAGTGCAGGGTGTCCTTGGACTCACTATGTAGCCCAGGCTGGGTTCGATACAACTCCTAGCATCCTCCTGTCTCAGCCCCCAAGTGCTGGGATTACTGGTGTGTTCCACTACACCTACCCAATAAAAATGTTTTAAACTTAGATTTTAATGATGGTTGCATAACTAAAATCATTAAATTAACATCAAACTCAACCTTGCACTTGCCAGGCAGGTACTGTGTTGCTGAGCTACATCCCTGGCCCAACAAATATTTTTTTAAATGAAAGAGGAGTTGGAAGGGCTGGGGATTTAGCTCCGCAGCATAAGTACCTGCCTCACAAGCGCACAGTACTGAGTCTGATCCTTAGTACAAAAAAAAGTCTCTTAAGTTTTGGGATGGGGGTTTAGCTCAGTGGCACAAGTGCCTGCCTGGCAAACACGAGGTCATTAGTTCAATCCCTGGTACCAGGAAAAAAAAAAAGTGGATTTGGAGACCTAAAATCTTTTCTAATATCATTTAAAGCAGACAATAAGAGCCAATTTATCATCTTTGTTAGATCTCTAGCTTTTCCCCTTTTTCTACATATTCAATCTCAATTCCAGAGCTAAGCAGCTTCCGTAATAGCCCCGTTCGTTCACCTGACCCTCCCTGAGTTCTCAGTGAAATCCCCTCAAACTAGCCACTGCTGTGGATCCAAAGTAATTTTCTTTGACGTCAATATAGAAAAGTCATTAATAATTATAAATTAAACTTTTTTGTAGCAGTATCCTCTAAGATATGTCCATATACAACATCCAGATTCTTTTACATTATAGTATAAAATGAACGAAGCCAGTAATAAACTTTTAAAATATGTGGTAGCTCAATAACACTTATAGCTCCTACACTTGCAGTTTCTTGTCAAAGGGCTTACCTCAAGATTGACAGACGCAGGAGAAACCGTGGCAATTATAGACGTTCTGGTGCGGCCCCCGAGAGAATCTTGAAGGATTCGAGTTAGCTTAGATTCTCGATAAGGAACATGAGGTGTTTTTTCTACAAGAGCAGTAATCACCCTTCCCAAAGTCAGCAGGGACTGATTGATATTTCCAGCTTCCCGGGCTCTCTTGTCAACAGCTCCAGAACGGCCAATGTTTTCGCTGCCCGCCAAGTCAACCTTGAATTTTAAAAATAAAAAGTCAATCCACTGCATTTAGATTCAAAGATTTTCACCTTCCATTACATACAATGTGCTAAACATCCAGCAAAATTAATTTTTTGTAACAAATTTCTTCTCCCACTATGAAATCAACAACCAAGTAACTACAAACATATCATCTGTAAGATAAAATTTCAAACTGCTCTTGAGGTTGACAAGAATTAAACAGTGGGGCCGGGCATTTAGCTCAGTGGCTTAAGTACTTGCCTCATAAGCATAACGTTGTGAGTTCGAGTCCCCGGACCCAAAACAAAACAAAACAAAAAAAATAATTAAACAGTGATGATATTAGGTAAAGACTTACCAAGTTCAACTTTCCAATTTTAACAAGTTCTTCTCCATCAATTGTAGTTTCTTTCATGTGTATTGTAACAGAAAAAACTGAGTGGGACCGACTAGAAAACAAGACAAAGTTGTCCATTCATTACAAAGTAAAGCATTATTTGCTTCCCATAAAATACTAAAAACAGTAAAGAAAGCTCTAAATTCATAAGGCTACACAGAAAATATTATTAAATAGGAGACAGCAATAAGATTTTGGAAAATAAGAGGTAAAAGAACAATGCTTAGGTTTTTGCTGTCTCGTACACAATGCCTGCAGGGAACACTCCACTAAGTTACCAGGAAATACACTAACAGATCCTGAATTTTCAGACACCTCTGAAAGCTGGATGTGGGGCATGGTCAGGACAGTTGCCTGCTGTTTCAGATATAAAGGCTCTCAATTGGTTTCCCTATTCATCAGAACCACTACTATGTCATTACCATAAGTTCAAATAGTACTAGGCAAGCAGTCAGAGTACTCCCCACTCCATGTCAACAGCTGTGTAAGTACATTCTCCTGCTTTGAGAAAGTCCCAGAAATAGGTAGTTCTTTTTCCTCAACAGTAAAAGCAGCAAATAGCAGACCACTAAAATAATCCCTGCTAGAATCTAAAGTGTTGAAAAGGCTGTTTGGTGGCACGTATGTATAATTCTAGCTACTAAGGAAGCTGAATCAGAAGGACTGAAAGTTTAAGGCCTCTGCCTCAAAAATCAAGGTTGGGGATTTAACTCTAGTAGAGCATTTCCTTAGCAGTCATAGGACCTGGGTCCAGCCCTGGTCGCAGATGCACGCAAACACAAACACAACCTGTTCAAAGTATACCTTATGCTAAATAAATACTGACATTCGGATATTACTTTATCTTCTAGATAAAAATTAGACAGATGCCCCAAGACATCTTTCTTTTCTTGTCAACAGCCACTGATAAGCATCATTATGATTGTTACTATTGTTGACAATTGGTAGAGAATATGCTTTTAATTTTTTCCTTTGTATTTTTCATGTTATTTAAAAAGCTCTATAAGTAGCCTTTTTTTTTTCTTCTCTCTTTGGTAGTACTGGTGATTGAACCCAGAGCCTTCAACTGAGCTATATCCCTAAGCTTTTTATTTTTTCTTTTGAGACAGGTTGCCCCATGTGTGCAATTCTCTTGCCTCAGACTCCAGAGTAGCTGGGCTTAGAGGTATGTACACCACACCCACCAGAGTATACCTATTGCAGAAATTATTTAAATTATTTTAAGTTGCAGAAAGGGAGAAAGGACAAAGACTGCCATAAATGAAACTATAAGTCTAAGTTATAATACTCATCTCATGGTTTTCTATCATTACCCACCAATCTCTAATCTAGAATTATAGAATTAATGCAATTAAGCACAGAAATCAATGCTGATTTGGGAAAAATGAATTAATTTTTCCTTCCTTTATGACACACATTCATAAAAAGTGATCTTTACTCAAGGCTACATAAGAAAAAAGGAGTTCTTAAGTCATACAAATTTATGGAGTAGAAAGTTTGTATTTCAGTGAAAGACACTTAGAGAAAAAAATCCATTCCTTTCTCCCCTGCAAAAAGCCAGTTTTAGTCATCTTGTGTCTCTGAACACATTAAATGAAGTCATTTTCAAATAATGATTTGACCCAGGTACGGCAGTGCAAGCTTGTAAATCAAAGCACTCCGGGAAGCTGAGGCAGGAAGATCAAAAGCTGAAGTCTCACCTGGGTAACTTAATGACTTAGAAAAACCTTACCTCAAAATAAAAAGTAGGCCAGGCGGGGTGCACACACCTGGAGTCCAGCCCTTGGGAAGCTGAGACAGCAAGGTCGTGGGTAAGTTTGAGGCCAGTCCGGGCTCCACAGTGAGTTCGAAGCCAGCCTGAACTGCCCAAGACCTTGCCTTCAAAACAGAACAGAGCGGAACACGGTCTCCGACCTGGAGTAAGCGTTCATCAGGGTTGCTGCAGTCGTCCTTTTCGCTGCTCCCTTCTCCAGAATTTGATAGACTTCATCCTTATTGTGTACTGCAATTTCTTCTAACCCTTTGATTATCACTCCTCTCTGACCAAAGAGCAAAAGAACACTCCATTAAACTGGTTAAAAAACAAAAACAAAAATGATAACAAAAAACTACACTGACCTCTTAAAGTCTCACCCATTAAAATTTGGAAACATTCCATTTTAGAAGGCCGAGTTACCTTGTTACGGGGATCATCAAACATTTGTAGTCGCTCAGAAACATCAGAAGAAGGATTAAGAAGATCAAAAAGTTCTTCGTTATAGATTTCCAAAAGAGACACTTTGACTGAAAATTCAGTACCATTATCAGTAAGCGTCTCAAAAATTTGATGAAGTGTACGTGGAATTATACCAGCCAATGGATCCTGAAATTGTAATGTTAAATAAGGATTAAAATAAAAGTGGCAAAACACCATATAATAAAGGGCTCTTTTAAAGTACATTTTAAAGGGTCTGGGGGTTTAGCTCAGCAGCATGAGCGCCTACCTGGCTAGCGTGAGGTTGTGAGTTTGATCCCCAGTTACTCCCCACAAAAAGCAAAACAATAAAACTCCAATAAAAAAAAAAAGTACATTAAAAAAAATGTTTAAACATAAACACAGTCAGCTCTCCACATCACTGGTTCTGCATTTTACTAACCACGTATAGAAAAATATTTGATTTTTTTTTTGTCTTTTTCGTTTTTATCGGTACCAGGGATCGAACTCACGACTGCCTGCTTGCAAGGTGGGCGCTTATGCCGCTGAGCTAAATCCCCAGCCCCCCCCCCCTCTTTTTTTTTGTCTTTTTAGAAAAATATTTGAAAAGAATTATTACATCTAGGGCTGGGGATTTAGCTCAGCAGCATAAGCTGCCTTGCAAGTGCTCAGTTGTGAGTCCAATCCCCAGTACCAAAAAAAAAAAGAAACATTACACCTATACTGAACATGTAGTATTTATAATTATTTGTTTCCTAACAATATAGTATAAAAGCTGCTTATATAACATTTATATTGTATTAAGTATTGTAAGTACCTAACCATGTAGAGATGATTTAGGTATATGAGAGGATGGACAAAGATTTTATGGAATACAGTACCATTTAAGAGATGTGGGGCCGGGGATTAGCTCAGCGGCATAAGCACCTGCCTGGCAAGTGTGAGATCCTGAGTTCGATCCTGGTACCGCAAAAAAAAAAAAGCCGGGCATGGTGGCTCACGCCAGTAATCCCAGCACTCAGGAGGCTGAGGTGGGAGGATCGTTGCGAGTTCGAGACCAGCCTGGGCTACAAAGTGAGCTCAAGGCCAGCCTGAACTACATAACAAGACCTCGTCTCAAAAGACAAAAAAAAAAAAAAAAGAGAGAGATGTGAGCATTGAGTTTTCGGTATGGGAAGAGGAGAAGCAGTAGTTACTCTGGAAGAAACTCCCATGGGTACTAAGGGAAAACTGTATGCCAAAACAGATTAAAAACATAATACTCTTCAAACATCATACATATTATCTCTTCACCTGAGAAGTGCACAGATACCAACCGAAACAAGCTACTTTATAGAACTTTTTCTTTTTTTAAATTGCAGTACTGCTGACTGAAGCCTTCACACCAGACTGCATCCTGAGCTCTTTACTTTCCTTTTTAATTCTGAGACAGGATCTCTTTCAGTTGTCCAGGCTGGGTTCAAACTTGCAAAGGACCAAGCTACTTAAAAAGCCAAGTTAAATAATTCTTTCTGACTTGCTTCAAAGTAAATAATACCACCATTTAAATTTAAAAAATGGCCCACTGATGAGTACATTTTCCAATTCTGACATAAAACAAGGATGTTTCTCAGATGTGTCTTTAACAAAACTGTTAAGTCTCTAAATTTTGAAACTATAAGCAATTTAATATTCCCATGGTTATAACTTCATAATTTTATTAATCATATGTAACATAAGTCAATGACTGAGTTCCAAAACCACTAGAAAAAACTTATCTAAATGTTAATAACTTGGAGAATTAACTAGCTCATCTAATCACATTTGATGAACATCTTTGTAACATATTACGTGCTTTCTACAGTATTAATACAACGATCTTCATGTCTTGCACACTTGAGGCTTCATTAATAAAGTACCGCACCATCCCTGGCTGTGGTTTTACTTCCTCACCACAAAGCTGTTCCCTTAAACGTACTGCTTTCCCACCATGTTACCCCTTAGACATTGTTTTATATTCTGCAGTTTCAGTTACTCACTTTAACTACAGTCTAAAAATATTCCATGAAAAGCTCAGTAAATGAGCAATTTATAAGTTTTAATGCTGCACCTGTCAGAACAAATATGTGTGTGGTACTGGAGACTGAAAATACAGTCTTGCAAAAGCTAGGCAAGCACTCTGCCATTGAGCTACATGTCCGACCCTCTGTAAAATTTTATTTTGATACAGTTTTGCTAAATTGCTTAAACTGGCCTCAAACTTGTGAGCATCCTGCCTCAGCCTGGTGAGTAGATGGGAGGACAGGGATGTACGAAAGAGCTCACCTGATTGTGCTCCTTTCTGTGTCAGATAATGAAATCTTGCATCACGTGGCTAGGGACATGAAATGACCCAATTGTCCAGCACAGCCACACTATATGCTACTTGCTGTTAGTCACCTGGTAGCCATATAGGTTGTCAGATCAACTCTTCCCGTATCAGAATGCTCATGTTCAAGTAACCATTATTCCCTTAAGATATTTTGCAACCATATTCATATTACAGTATATTATTAAAATTGTTGTATTTTATTATCAGTCACTGTTAATTTTTCATTGTGCCTATTTATAAATCAGCTTCATGACAGTATGTGTACATAGAAAAAACATAGAATATATAGTGTTTGGCACTATCTACTGTTTTAAGCATCCATTGGAAATCTCAGATCACACACAAATGTGGGGAAACCACTGTGTTTTGCTGCAATAATTCTGTCCTAGAGACTTCTCTTTTATCACCTCCACAATGCCCTGTGTGTTAATCCTCTCTTCCCCAATGAGACTATGTTTCTCAAACAGCAGTAAGATATATATATATATATATACATATATATATATATATACACACACACACACACACACATATATATATAAAAGAAAGAATATATATATATACATATATATTTTCTTCTTTTGGCTTTTGAAAAAATGGTCTCTCAACTAGTTGTGGTGGTACACAACTATAATCCTAGCACTTGGGAGGCTGAGGCAGGAGGATTGCTATGAGTTTGAAGCCAGCCTGGGCTACATTGCCAGGCCTTGCCTCAAAAACAAAACAAAACAAAACAAAATGAAATGAAAAAAGGTCTCTCTACATAGCATAATTCAGACCAGCCTTGAACTTGCTATGTAGCCCACGATGGCCTCAAATTCAAGAGACTTCTGCTTCAGCTTTGGGCATGCTGCGGGCATGTGCCACCACATAGATACCTACCATATATTTTAATTTTACTATAGTAGTTTATGTCTAACGTTCTGACATTCTGTATTTCAAGACAGAGGCCCAGAACATGTTTTATTCAGCTAGATTTCAGCCACATTAGAGATAAAATTATGTTACAAATACCTCCTCCCAGGTATATGCTTCGTTAGGTGACCTTTCACCTTCCATTGTAAAGGTTTTTCCAGTACCAGTCTGGCCATATCTGTTAAGATTTAAAACAGTTACATCAAATTAAACACACATCTAAACTTCTTCATCAACTTGAAAAATAATGTCCCACTTACGCAAAGATAGTACAATTATAGCCCATTATAACTTCATCCAGAATCGGACAAACAATACTTCGGTAAAGATCAATTTGTTTGGTAGATGGTCCAAAAACCTAAAAAAAAATTTTTAAAAAATGATGTCTTAAAAGAAAAAGAAAAAAAAATTACTCATGATAATAATTTTTGCTTGTATTATATAATTAAGTAATTCAGCCACTAGAAACCATCTGAGAACTCAAAGAGCCAAGTAAAATTCATAATGGTACACTATATTTCCAGGGGAAATACGTATGTTAGGATTATTTTACAGTAATAGATAATCAAGTAGTATCACCCTTTTAAGAAGCTCTTAAGTACCATATCAAAAGTGTATGTTTTCCTCGAGCTCTTATCAGCCAGTCCTCCAGTTCGAACACTAACTTCTTTCCGTGTTTGATCGCATTCTACTACTGAGTGGGCGTTAGCTTTCCGCTCTGCCAAGTTAAATGGTCTACAAAAAGAAATGCACAAAGTTATCAAAGAACTCTTAGTAGGTGATAAAGGATATTTCCATTAACTTCATTAGTCAAGACAAATGTGAATATAAAATTGTGACTATATTGTTGACTGTAATTAAATGAGTATTAAATGATACTGCTAAAGCACAGTACAATTATAAGGGTCTCAGTTCCCTTACACATCTTCAAAAAAATGTTGGAAGATGTGTACATTACAATTCTAATGCTCCTAGAGAAAATGTTAGAACAATTTAAATTAAGCCAGGTATGATGGTATTTGTCTGAAATCCCAGCACCCAAGAGGCTGAGGCAAGAGGATCACCATAAGTTCAAGGCCAGCCTGGGTTACGTAGTGCATCTTTTTTTTTGGTTTTGTGAGACAAGCTCTTGCTGTATAGTTCAAGCTGCTCCTGAACTCACTATGTAGCCCAGGCTGGCCTCGAACTTGCAGCAATCCTCCTACCTCAGATTCTCAAGTGCTGGCATTATAAGTGTATGCCACCATGTTTTACATAGTGAGAACTTGCCTCAAAAAAAAAAAAAATTTAAAAAATAAAAAAAGAAACAATAAGTGAATTTAAATCTTAAAAAATGCTAAATTTATCTTTCAGAATTTCATTTCCACTATTCTTAAAATCTGATCAGATATGATATAGTAGAAAGAACATGTCAGCTTTGTACTCAAAATTACAACTTTTTGGTGATTATCTGGCTCAAAGTAAAACTAATGTCTAATATGTCAAGTACTTTTTCATGCCAGGTACTCATTTTCTCAACTGCTTATTAAAGTAAACTGTAATTCACTTCATCCTCACGACTTACTGGCTCCATTTCTTTCTTTCTCTGTTTTTTTTTTCAGACAGAGTCTCACTATGTGGCCCAGGCTGGCCTGGAACTCATGACGATCCTCCCTCCAGTCTCTCACATGCTGGGGGTACAGGCATGCGCCACCATGCCCAGCTCTCCATTTTTCAAATGAAGAAACCGATACAGAAGAGCTACGCTGCCCAAGCAGGGGTGTCAGTGGTGTTCGGATCACTATTTGGTCAATACTTTTGTAGTGTCTAAGAGGTATAGTGTACAACATTAATCCTCTGGGGTCCTTCCTTTCCCGCTTCTGCCCTCTCTTACTCCAACCAAGACCACATCAAATTTGCTGAACCTTTCTACAGCACATTTTATATACCTTTCCTAAACATCATCTGTCTTAAAATCATTTGTCTATGCTTCCTAATTGATCTCAGACATGTACAGAGAGAAAAACAAAACTGTTTATTTCCCCAGTGCCCACTACAACACTTAGCATACAATTGGCTTTCAAGTATTTGCTAAACTACTAACAAATGTCATCATCAGAGGAATGCCAGGAAAATTAAAAAGAATCACAGTCCACAGTAGAATTCAGAACACATATATTTGATACACAGCTGGACCAAAGGAAGCCATCTTTTGACCTGAATTCATTTTTCTCAGTAAGAAACAGACATCCTGGAAGGAAGGACCAACCAAGAAATCCTCTTCCCTTGCCACTAGACAAACCAAGTTACCATTTAAAATACTATACCGAGGGGCTGGGGATTTAGTTCAGCGGCATAAGCGCCTGCCTTGCAAGCAGGCAGTGGTGAGTTTGATCCCTGGTACCGATAAAAAAACAAAAAAGACAAAAAAAAAAAAAAAAAAAGTAAATAAAAAAATAAATAAAATACTATACCAAAACTTTTTTGGCATATATGAATCCCTAGCATATTTTTGAGCGTCAAGAAGATCGATATATTAGCTCAGGAAACTTAACTTGGAGGGAATACCTAGTAATGCTGTCATGTGCCAACTGTACTAATGCTTATTAAAATTGTCATATACATGGTATTAAGAATTCAACAAAAAAGCCGGGCGTGGGGGCTCACGCCTGTAAACCCAGCACTCAGGAGGCTGAGGCAGGAGGATCATTGTGAGTTCGAGACCAGCCTGGACTACAAAGTAAGCTCAAGGCCAGCCTGAATTGCATAGTGAAACCCTGTTTCAGGAAAAAAAAAAAAAAAAAAAAAAAAAAGAATTCAACAAAACCCACGTCAAACCTAACTTATACTGAAGTAGGCCAAGAGAACCATCAGCAGAGCAAAATGCCCTCACGTGGTTAAAGCTTTTCCAATTAGTGTATTATTACTGGCTTTCCTAATCTCTTGCCTGGACATGTGATTAGGTTATTAAGTCAAACATTCAAACTGTCAGAACTGACAACTGAGTAGTTGGAAATCCACAGGGATTACACATTGCTAGAACTGATGGAAATCTTTGGAGAGGAACGTTAAGGACTATCTATACTATCAGAAACAGTACTGCCAAGCCACTATTTTTCCTACTCAGAACTTTCTATTCAGAAAGTACAAGGTTTCTATTGATCACCCCAACAAATTTATCAATTTATTGGCATTACTGTAGCTATGTAAAAGCTCAAACCATGAAAATGGTGAGGGGCTGGGTATGGTGGTGCACGCCTGTAATCCTACCACTCAGGAGGATGAGGCAGGAGGATCACTGTTAGGCCAGCTTGATCTACAAAGTGAGTTCAAGGCCAGCCTAAACCGCACAGTGAAACTCTGTGTCAAAAAAAGCAAAAGAAAAAGAAGAAAAGAAAAGAAAGGGGCAGGGGGAGAGAACAGTGGAGGGAAAGAGAAATTGAGGAAAGTCAATCAATCAGTCTATTTATTATTGGTAGAACACTTTTATCAGCATGTGTAAGGCCTTGGCTTCAATTCTCAGTACTTAAATACAAAAAAAAGAACAAATTCTTGTCTTGTGGAGAAGTGCCAATTTCATTCATTCCACAAAAAGTCTTCCAGTACTTATTACAGATAGACAATGGGAATAGAGCAAAGACTAAAGCAAGAAATCAAAGCCAGCCTGCCCTAAATAGCAAGACCTTGTCTCAAAAAGACAAAAAAAAAAAAAAAAAAAAAGTGACCATGGAGGAAGACAGGTAGTTTCTATTTTAGGGTCGCTAGAAAATTCTTCTCAGATAAAGATATTTCAGCAGAATATGCAATGTAAGGAAATGTAGATATTTTGATGGAAAGGCTTTTCTGGCAGACAGAACAAAAACTGGAAAGGAACTGAGATGAAAAGCAAAATACACACTTTAAAAATGTGTAGGTGCTTAAATAATTAACACTTGAAGAAATCACAAGGGGAATCTGAAAATACTTAGAGATAAATATAAATGAAAACACAACATACCAACCAAAACTGCTATCATGCAACAAAAACATGGCTAAGAGGGAAATTTATACCACAAGTCCTTAATATTAGAAAATAAGCTCTTAGGGGGGTGGCTCAGTGGTAGAGTCCATGCCTTTCAGGCCCAACACCCTGGGTTCCATCCCTAGCATGGCAAGGCAAAACAAAAAAAAAAATAATAAGCCAAAATCACAGCAAGGCATGAAGGAATGTGCCCTTAGCCTTCAGCACTCCTGAGGTTGAGACAAAAAGATCTCAAGTTCGAGGCCAGCCTGGGATGCATAGCTATTTTAAAGCAAACCCGAATGACATGCTAAGGTCTCAAAAAAACCAAAGTCAAAACCAAACAAAGATCTCACATCAATTCCCCTCACTTTATAATTTAAGAAACTAGAAAAAGAACAAAGTCATTCAAGACAAGAGGAACAAAGAATAGAGAGAAAGGGGGAAAAGACAAAAAATTAATAAAAATAACAAAATTGGTAAGTCCTTAGCTAGATGGACAGAGGGAAAAAAAGACAGGAGACAGCTGGGTGCAGTGGCACCTATTCATAATCCCCCCTGTTTGGCTGGCTGAGGCAAGTAGATTGGAGCTCCAGGACAATGTGACCCTCTCTCAAAAATACAAAGGGTTCCCTTTTTACCTGCTCCACCCTCTGCCTATTCCTGCTGCTACTGTCCCACAATCTTCAATAAAGATAGCTACTTCCTACATACTAAAACCAAGACAAAAGGTTGAGGATATAGTTCAGTGGTACAGCACCCCTTGGTTAAATCCCCTGTATCACAAAAAGTAAAACAAAAAGAAAAATCACTCTCTACAGAGACGCCATGCAAAAAGAAAAGAAAAGAAAAGAAAAATCACATCAACAAAAACCACATGTAATCCCAGCACTTTGGGAGGCTAAAGAAGGAGAATCACAAATTTGAGCTCAGCCAAGCCAAGAGATTTAGCAACATCCTATCTCAAAATAAAAAATAACTGGGTTGGGGATGTAGCTCCGTGTGAAGGCCGTGGAGGGTGCATGCTTCCAGATTCCAAAATTTACCACAAAGGTACAGTAATCAAAACTGTGGTAAAATCCAGGCACGGTGGCGCAAACCTGTAATCCTAGCACCTTTGCCAAATTTGACGTCAGCCTGAGCTACAAAGTGGACTTAAGGTCCACGTGAACTAGAGTGAAATCCCATCTCAAAAAGACACACACACACACACACACACACACACACACACACACACACACAAGTAGTATGTGGTACTAGCATAAAGACAGTAACACAGACAAAGGAAAGAGAACAGAACCCTACCCTCTCCCAGTTCTCTCATATGCAAGCAAAGTAGTTTTGACAAGGGCACCAAGGTGATTCAACAAATTGTGCTGGGAAAACTGGTCATCCACATGCAAAACAGCGAAGTTGGCTGGGCATGGTGGCATGTACCTATAATCCCAGTACTCAGGAGGCTGCGACAGGAACATAGCCAAGGCCAGCCTGGGTTATACTGTGAACTCAAAACTAGCCTCGACTACAAGGCAAGACTCTGTCTCAAAAAGAAAAAAAAAAAAAAAGAAGTTGGACCCTTATCTAACTAACACTGTATACAAAAATTAACTTCAAATGGGCTTAAGACTAAAGACACCAGAAACTAACCAGAAACTATACAACTCAGAAGAAAGGACAGGGCACAGATTTCATGACACTGGATTTACAATGATTTGGATGTCACACCAAAGGCACAAACAACAACTGAAATAGACAAGTTGGACTGCATCAGAGAATGTTTAGATTTGTGCATCAAAAAACAGTATCAGCAGGGAATGGTGACACATGATTGTAAAGCCAGCACTCCAGGAGACTGACAATTGCAAATTCAAACCTGGCCTAGTCAGTTTAGATCCTGTCTCAAAAAGATAAAATACAGGCCAAGAGACCTTTCTCGAATGGGAAGGGGATCAACAGATTGAGGGAAGGCAGAGAGGGGAAGGAAAAGAGATGAAAAAGATGTATCACTGATATATTCCAATTCCACATATGAAATACAAACGTTGTGTACTACACACACACACACACACACACACACACAAACATTGTGTACCATAATAGTGCAGATATTCCTTGTTGAGTGACCTGTTTGCCAGCTGTTTGGATTTATGACCTGTTCTTTTTGTTTTTTTCTACACAGTTCTGTACATCTTGTTTATAGAGACTCTATGTCTTTTTTTGGTACAGTACATCTTAATACAGTACTGTAATTTTGCTGATTATAATACACAGTACAGTAGTTTTATGTTGTGTTATACATTACAGTTCTGCATGTAAGAGTTATGCAAATAAAAGCAGTCATCCAGCTGGAGTTTCCTTTGACCATTTCTTTGTTGAGAATATTGTAATGTATATACAAGTCTTCATTTTGTGACTAATTCCTCTAATGATCTACTCATGGTAACTGGACTGTCATTAAATGAGGGAAAATTTTAAAGCTTAAAAGTAAAGAAAAAAAAGGGGGCCAGGGATTTAGCTTAGTGGCGTAAGCACCTGCCTGGCATGGAGGTTGTGATTTCAATCCCTGGTATCCCCCCTGCCAAAACATTTTGAGCATAAACCAGGTGTGGTGGCTCATGCCTGTAATCCCAGCACTTGGGAGGCTGAGGTGGGAGGATAGTTGCGAGTTCGAGACCAGCCTGAGCTATTGAGGCTGAGCTACAAAGTGAGCTCAAGGCCAGCCTGAACTGCATAGCAAAACCCTGTCTCAAAAAAAAAAAAAAAAAAAAGATTTTGAGCATAATAAAAACATTTGAAAGATTTTCAAAAACTAAGCTGGGGATGTAGCTCAGCAGGAAGGCCTTAGATGTATAAAGACAATCCACAAAATGGGTAAAAACTGTGCACATCATATATTTGAAAAGCGATTAACATCTTGACTATACAGACATCCTAAAAAGTCAATAATAAAATCCAATTTAAAACTCACATAGACATTTCCTCAAAAATGCAGAAATGGGTAATAACCACATGAAAAGATGGGAAATGCAAACCAAAACTATAAAGAAATAACACTTCTACTAGTGTGGCTATACAATAAGAGTTGGTGAAGATGTGACAAACTGAGACACTTCTGCATTGTTGGAAGAAACAAAATGATACAGCCACTGTTAAAAATAGGATGTTAGCTCCTCAAAAAATTAAGAATTATTGTGTGATCTAGCAATTCTATTTCTGGCTAAACAACCAAAAACACAAATTGATATCCCAACAGCATTAGTCACAGAATCTAAATTGTGAAAGCAATCCAAGTATCCACTGAAAAAATGACTGAACAATAAGTGATACGTGCATGTAAGAACATATTACACACGTTTAACTGGATGGTGCTGATAAAAAAAAAAAGAACATATTACACAGCCTTTGAAAGTGAAGGAAATTCTAGCTTACACTAGGAAGGCTATTTGAAGGAGAAAAGTAAATACAAAAGAAAAAAAAACAAAGCAAACAAACCTCTTTATACTAAAATTATTGTACATATGTTAGGCATAACCTAAGCACTTTCTGCTGGTAATTAAGTCAAAGAAATCTCTTCTAAGGCATGTGTTACAAGTTAATAATTATCTGTTGAGTGGGAAGGAAGAGGAATCCATAGCAGGCTCCAGCAATACTCTTTCCTTAAATTCTTTTTTTTTTTTGGTCTTTTTTTTTTCGGTACCAGGGATCGAACTCACGACTACCTGCTTGCAAGGCAGGTGCTTATGCCACTGAGCTAAATCTCCAGCCTCACTTTCCTTAAATTCTTAAGTGGGGGTGATGGATACATACATATTTGATGTAGTGTTTTTTCTTTTTGATGCAATATTCTTCCTTTTTTTTTTTTTTTTTTTTTTGGTACTGGGGATTGAACTCACGACCTTGCGCTTGCCAAGCAGGCAGTACACCACTGAGCTAAATCCCCAGCTGATGCAATATTCTTTAGCACATTTTTTTAAAAATTTATTTTATTTTGGCTTTTTAACAGTGTCTCATTATGTAGCCCAGGCTGGCCTCAAACTCATGGCTACTGTCCTGACTCAGCCACCTGAGTGCTGGGATTAAAGGTGTGGGCCACCATGCCCAGCTGTAGAATGTTTTATAAGTCTACACTATTTTACAGGTAACAATAATAAAAGCAATCAAATGTTAAGCATGCTGGCCCGCACTTGTAATCCTAGCACCTGGGACCAAGGAAAGTGCGGTGAGTTTGAGGCCTGCCTGGAATACAGAGACCTTGTCAAAAAAGAAGCCACCACGGGGCTGGGGATTTAGCTCAGGCATAAGTGCCTGCCTTGCAAGCAGGCAGTCGTGAGTTCGATCCCTGGTACCGATGATAAAAAAAAAAAAAAAAAAAAAAACCACTTAAAAAAGAAGCCACCAGAAAGATCCAAAATAATTAACATCACATACAAGTTATATAATCTGGCTTTATTATACAAAATTATTTAAAAATCTGCATTTCATATATATGCTGTTGATCTAAAAAATTTTTTTAAATCTTCAAAAACAAAAGCCCTAAACCATAACTGCTAAGTGTCCTTGGCCAGGTAACCAGCAAATTTCCTTTCCGAAAGGTAGTTTAGAAACTTTTAGGTGTTGCCTTTGATATCTAAAGTTCAATTCACCACAGCTACAAAAAAAACCAAAAGTTTTCTTTTAATTTTAGAACATTTTCAGATTCACAGAAAAGTTTAGAGAAAAGCAGACACATAATATATATATATTAATGAACTGCAGAGAGCCTCTAAAAATTTAGATGTCAAAGTCTAACAAGTTACTACAACTATGTTATCCCTCTCTACCTCATTTTAAAATTGAGACATTAAGAGTAGGTGGGACTTTCTGTAGTTCCAGCTACCTGGGAGGCTGAGGCAGCAAAGTCACTTGAACACAGGAGTTTGGAGCCAGAATGGAAAATATAGCAAGACTCTATCTCAGAAAAGAGGAAAGAGAAAAGAAAGAAAAAGAGTGAGAGAGAAATTGAGAAGTTATGTGGAAGCCAATGAGGACAGCTGAACACCTGTATAGAACCTGTCCCAGAAGTTAGTTCATACTAAACAGAAGAACAGTCAGAAGAGTGAGTAGTAAAATTCCTGTGCCGCCAGATACCTACACTAAATTGTCTTGATCTTCATAAAATCACTTTTTAACTTATAATGTTTAAGTTCAGTAATGTGCATTTTTAGTAGACATGAAAAATAAAGAGAACACATGATTGATTACTAATTTCGAAGTGATACAGACGACAACCCCAAAGTAAGGTGGCAAAACAGGTATACAGCCTATTTTCTTACTGACAAACTGCATGAAGTAGCACAGAAAAGTGAAGCGTAAATGTTTATAGACATTAAAACGCACATTGAACGCACGTTTCAGTAAAGAAAAAAAGAACGATCAAATTCCTCTTCTGAATACCAGTCTAACTATAACCTCATGTAAACATCTAAAAGTAGGGCCGGGCGTGGTGGCGCACGTCTGTAATGCCAGCACTGCGGAGACTGGGACCCAAGATCGTATCAGATACGAGGCCAGCTGGGCTACACATTAGTGAGTTCAAGGCTAGCTTTAAGTACAATAGCGAGCTCTCATCTCAAAAAAGCAAAACAAACATCTAAAAGTAGACTCTAAAAAGAAAGAAAGTAAACAAATAGAGTAGACTCTAGCCAGGCGTGGGGGCGCACACCTGTAATCCCCGCCTTCGGGAGACTGCGGCAGGACTATCGGGAGTCGGAGGCCGACCACAAGTACGCAGCGAGACCCCGTCTCAAAAATAAAGTCGACTTAATTTGGATCCTACCGCACGCTGGTCATTTTTATCAAACAGAACTCGGGAAACCAAAATCAGATGTGATCCCCGAGCCTGGAACAGTACAGAAGGGAGCACAGCAGCAGAGCCCCGGCGCTCCGAACGCTGCCAGCTTCTCCTTACCTGCATCTCACCACTACTTGGATGTTCTTCCCCTTATCGTCTTTCTTCTTCGCAGAGGAATTCGGCTGGGACGCCATGACTGCCCCAGTCAAGTCAAAGCCTGCCCGCGGATTTGAACCGCGTCGGGCACGGAGGGGATACGCTTCAGGTGCGGACCCAGCTGCCCGCCTCCTCTGCCGGGTGTTGACTGGGCCAGGAGGATCCACGCAAGCAGCTCCGCGTCCCGGTCCCACCCGAGACTCTTAACAGGTCGTGGCGCAAGTCTCCTAACAGCCCGACAACTGAACCTCCAATCACGTCCCAGTCTCGGACCAGACTAACGACTCCGCGCCTCAATTTGAAAATGCAGCCAAGTTGCCAATAGCAGCGCGAGTGCGCAAGGCACCACGGGAATGGTGTCGTCGCTGCAGTCCAGCCTCCGGGCTGGGGCTCGCGGGAAAGTGAGAAGCCGTGAAGATCCTCAGACCTAGGACTCCTTGTGTAGAAGAGTTGTAGGAATGCAGTGTGGTCTTTCAGTGTGTCCTTGCTCAAGTTACATAATTACTTTAACCCAGAATTCCCTCAAATGAAAACGGAGATAAAAAGAACCGTCCCAGAGGGCTGTGATGAGAACTGATGAGCTTGTACGGTAAGTTAGATCAGCCCAGTGTGCGCTAAGGAAAGGCCGGCCGTGGTTGTAATATAAAATAAGAGTTGTGTGGAAGCACAGAAGAGAGGTCTACTTCGAGCCGCCTTCTCGGAGGCAGCATCCACAATAGTCCTAAAGTATAGGTAGGAAGTGTTAAGCATCAAGGGTACCACACGCTGTACCAAATCGTGAAGTAGACAGTGAATGTCACTTAGAGGATTGTGAACTTATCCCTTAGTTGATGAGGCGTCATCGTTAAGAGGTTCCAAGCGACAAAGCAAGGATTTCCAATTTTAAGAAGCTGCTCTGCGACTTTCACTTGGGTTTGGCGGAAATTAGACATATGCGCAAGCGGAGCCTACAACTCCCAGCATGCCACGCACACTGCTTACGGCCTTGCCTCCGGCTCTCCGTAGGAGCGCTTTAAAGGGGACTGGGTCATTTAAAGAGCCTGTTTTGGGATGAGAAAATGCTGCATCGATGCCTACTCATTGAACTAGTCCTGGAGCTACCTTTCTGGGCCACACAGCCAACAGAAACCTACAAGTCATTTTAGTCTCTTATGTAACAGCCAGGTGCACTGGAAAACTTTCCTATACTATACCCTTCGTGTGCCTCCACCTAAAAACACCTGCAGCTCAGACCGCTGGTTATAGCCATTCTGCATAGCTGTGTACTGGTAACTCCCCTCAGGTGACTCACTGGCAGCTTTAAAATGGACCTATCCCAATCGAGCTTTTTATATCTTTATCTGCACCCTGTTCTTTCTCATCTGTACTCCTGGTGCTGACCAAAACTTTTGGCTCCTCAAAGTCCAGGACAATCCTGTTTCTTTCATCTCTCCTGTTACTGCTCTAATGCAAGGTGTTTATTATTTTTCCTTAAGAAATTTAAGAGGCCATCGATTTCCCTTCTGCTCTTTTCTCGTTCGCTACTACATTCATATAGCAAGGAAAATAGCTTCTAAAAAGTAATTATGCACTTCATCTGCACCTCTATCCCCAGGAATAGTGAACCCAGGCCCGATGCACTGAGCAACATCCTAGGGTCTCACCAGGTCACTAATATGCCCAGACTGGAGTCAAATGTGTGATCCCAGTGCCTCAGCCTCCTAGAGTACTGGGATTACAGGTGTGGGCCACCACATTCAGCCACCTCACCCAATATTAAACTTTGTGTGGGCAGAGTTCTGAAAATACAGGCTGGATTAATTGCATGGGCTTTAAGATTAAATCTAATGGAGATAACCATGATCTTATGGACATTTGTCAAAGTTTGTGGCACTAAACAGGTGGTTGTTTCCGGGTTGTTATTTTATATTGCCCTTGTAGAGCCCCAGCTAACGAAACTCCTAATTTAAAAAAAAATTTTTTTTAAATAGGTACTGGGGATCAAACTCACGACCACGTGCTTGCAAGGCAGGCACTTATGCCGCTGAGCTAAATCCCCAGCCCAATGAAACTAATAATTAACCTCTCTTGAAAGTCTGCCTACAATTAGAAATTACTTGGATTTTTGTTTGTTGTTTTGAAACAGGGCCTTGCTATGTAGTTCAGGTTAGCTTAAACTCATTAGTGACGTAGGCTGGCTCAAACTTGTAGCAATCCTCCTGCCTCCATCTCCTGAGTGCTGGAATTACTGGTGTTTACCACCATGCTGTGCCTACTGACAGTATTTTCAGTGTAGCTGAACTGTATTCTACTAATGCAACATTACCACGGATGTATTTGGTCTAGCATTTGTCTTTCAAGAGTGTATATATTTCATGTATAAATTATTTTAAATTGATTTTATTTTTTTAAAGTAAAACATAGACATTTTAAATTAAACAGTACTTTTTTTTTGGTCTCTTTTGAGACAGGGTCACACTGTTTGGCTCAGGCTGGCCTTGGGGTCACTTTGTAGCCCAGGCTGGTCTCAAACTTGCAATGATCCGCCTCTCTCTGCCTCCTCCCTCAGTCTTCCTGCCTTAAGTCTCCTGAGTGCTGGGATTACAGGAGGGCACCACCATGCCTTGTTTAAACAGTACTTCAAAAGTCTTAAAACAAAATAAAAAAAAATCTGCTTTTTTCTGCCCCAGTGCCTCCAGAACTCAAACCAAGAAGCAATCACTTTCCACTCTTTAAATTATTTTTTATCTAGAGTTGGCACATTTCCAGTTTTGCAAGAAATTTATATGTACTATTGCTAGGATTATTTCCAAAAGATGAAAAATATTTCCAAAAGATGAGAAGTATAAAATAAAAAGTAGCCTTTATTCTGAGAACATGGAGAGAGATGACCAGCACCCCCACTGCTGGCGTCCCACGATCTCTCTGGCAGACACATGGCGTGGGGGCATGTAAATAGCCTCGGTTTGGGGTGGAACCTAAGGCGGGGATTAGGGATATACGGGTAGCACATTGGTCCTAGGTTTGGCGCCATATGTAAATTTCCAGGGGCAGGAAGATGGTGTCACAGGTAACTTCCTAGGGGCAGGGGAGATAGGGGCTTCCTGCTTCTGGTTGAGGCTTTCCTGGCTACAGTGTCCTGTCTGGGCCAAAACCCTTTCATATCCCATCTTATGATTATTATTATGAAAAGGGGCAAAGATTTCTCTAACTACTTCCTGCTGGCAGAGGGCGTTGTACTGGAGCCTAGAAGACTTGACAGATGAAGGTTGATGCTCAGGTAGACGATGGTGCCAGGTGTTTTGGCCAGGACAACTTCACTGGTGAATGCACGTATGTTAGACTGGAAAAACAAAGAGACAAGATGTTATGAGGAGACATGGCACTGTCTCCCTAGGTGAGGTAGAGGGAAAGGTGATTTTGATTTAGACATGTTCCACAGTAAGGCAGAGTTCTGAAAATTAAACGTGGGATTAGGAGGAGTGGAGTTATGAGAGATGATTACTCCCCCTTCTGAAAGCATAAAAGTTAAGAGGTAGGTCGGTAAGGCTTGTCTCTGGTATGCATGACATTGGAGTCTGTAGGTAATACTGTTAAAGAGTCCTGCTGTAAAAATGATCATTAATAGAACGTAAGAAATTGGGAGCCAAAGTGGATAACAAAACATGACTTAGCCTGTTAACTGTGGCTGCGAGGCCGTCGTGAAACAGAGACGGGTGGGCGACAGAAGATGAGATAACCACTCAGAATGATCAGATTTAGGGCTGGAAGGGCACCTCTTAGCCTGAGTGATATGAAACCAGGATGACAGTCTAGCAACTTTGATTTAGGCATGGGTCGCTGTAACCCGTTTGTATAGCAGTTTACCTGGTTGTGGGAAAGGCTTTTATGTATCCTAAAAAAGTATAAACAAAGTGAGAAGACAAAATGTATCTGTCAGTCTTGACCAGGGTTGTCTGACAAATTGGTGAATAAGAAGGGAAGGGGGTGGTCTTATATCACTGAGGAGAGGTTTACTAGCAATAACAGATGGAAGCTGTTGAGGCCTCAGTGTGTCTCAGTCAGCCTGTATAAAAGGCATTTTAAGATTTAGGACTGGGACCTGCACAAAATAGGCCCTGTTTGTATTAGGTTGACCATCAATACCCCATCATAGAGATTGAGGACTTACTATAGCAGCCTGAATACTCAGGAAGAACTCTGTATATATGGCCTCTATGTCCACAAATATAGAAAATTGTCTTACCTGAGACTTTAGTGCTACTTGGACTCTGAGACAGACACCTTAAAGGGGGCTGTTGTTGCCCTGAACCCCCTCAGTCTTCAGCAGCAATTTTTGTCAGCGATGAATCTGGCAGTGTCGACATTTCCTGTGAGGGCTAGAACTTAGGATGACTTACCCACTCTTTGGTGGCTAGGACAGTCCAGCAGCCCTGGAGTAAGGTCTCAAAGAATGCCAGGATGGGGCATTTTCTTGCTCAATGTCTTCTGCTGCATTTGGGCGTGGTCCATGGGGAGGCCAGGCAGCTTCACCTTGTGTAGGTTTACCTGCCTCAGAACTCCAAGTGTCATAAGTGTTAAAAATATAAAAAACCATATTAAGATCTCTATAAGGTTTGAAGGTCAAGTTTTGCCTTTTTGTTTGGGATTTGGGCTATAGTAGAATTAAGTAGAGTATAATCTCATTTTAATGGAAACATTTTGCAGTAAAGGTTTACCAATCTTATGAATAAATCTATGAAAACTGATCTAATACTTTCAAATTCTGAACACATTTATTTTTTTAAAGTTGTTATTTGCAGTAGTATGAACCAAGACAAATAAAATAAAACTTTGAAGAAAACCCTTGTCTTGAAATAGAGCTAGTGGTTCCCAGCAAAAAGGAATTTATAACCTTAGTTGTTAAACAGGAGATTGGTGAAGGCTTTGATTGATAAACAAGGCTGGTAAAATTATCAGGTGGCCAGTAACTTTGATTAAATGGTTTGAGAATTGTGATAAAAAAAAAAAAGCATCTTTTGAGCAGAGCCGAATTGTAAAAAAAGCACACCTGAGCAGAGCCGCTGAGCTGCTGTTTCGCGGCGCTCCGGCAGAGCACGCCCAGCGGGTGGGGCAAGCGCTGGGACGTAGCACACAGGGGTGGGCTGGGACTGCCTCCGGAAACGCGTAAGATGACAGCGACGACGACGACGATGGCGCATGGGGGAGGGAGGGGCTGGGAGGGCGCATGGGGGAGGGGCTGGGAGGCGGCCCAACACAGTGCACGAAGCTGGAACTGCTTGTAGGGTGCGAGGATTAGAAAGCCAATTTAGGAACACAGTTGGGTTTTTATTAGCCTCCTGAACCTGTTTTAAAAGTTTGTTATAGTTAGTATGCTTGTCCTGCTCTGGCACAGCTATAGGCCCAGGGTCATTATCAGCAGTGTTTACCTTATGTCTGTGATTAGCTTCTTTTTGAGCTGCTTGCCACAGTTGATTCTGTTCTTGTGAGCTGACAGTGGTATTTGGAATCCCATAAACATCCTTAAAATGTAAATTAAAACAATTAGTAATAAACTTAAATTCCCTGATATAATTCTGTGGGTCAACAGAGAGGCTACCTAATTTATGGGTAATCTGAGATAGATCAGAAAGGGAAAAAGGCACATGGAAGTTAACAAGTCCCTTGGGGCCAGCTTGCTCCCGAAGCGGTAGCAGAGCCTGAGGAGAAGATTCCGGAGCAGAGGGCCATTGGGCAGCCATCCGTCCGGTAGGCACATGTGAGCAGTCATCTGTAGAGGGCCTACAGAGCTGCTGCCGGTCACCCTGGGAAACACAGGCAGATGGCGTCTCACTGTGTGCCTTGCAGTGAGAGGATTGCTGTCAGCAGCACAGTGAAGCATCATGTGCACTGCAACAGGGCGGCTGTTGCAGTTCACAAGAGGAGCCACAAGGGGGCACCCGTTGACAGTGAGGGTCCTGGGAACATGGCGGCGCCCTGTCACGTGGCCCAAAACATGGCGGCACCCTGTCGTCATGTGACCCTCCTGAACATGGCGGCGCCATGCCACGTAGCAGAGGGTTGCAACATGGAGACTGTTCCCGCGTAAGCTGGAACAATCACGCAGCCTGCTGGAAGGACATAGTGACTGAGACCTAGTATGGTGGGCGGGCGGTGAGAATGCTGTAGGAGATAGAGAATTCTCAGGAGAACAAGAAACCGGAGACTTTGAGGAAGCACTAACAGAGTGATTAGATTCGCTGGGAGAGTCATGGGTCCCGGAAGGCAGAGAGGGAGACGATTGCACAGCAGGAGGTATCTGCGACGCATTGGGACCAGACTGCTGAGAGAATCAGGCATGGGGGAGGGAAGGGCGATCCGGTGGGAGGTAACGGCAGGGAATGAGTTTGGGGGTAGGCAGGTGGTGGCCGGGAAAACACCGGAGGGACATCCTCAAGCGAATCCTGAGGGCAGGACGGAAAAGTTTGCGGTGCAGTAGAGTTAGCTAAAAGTATCTCAGCAGGAGCACAAGACTTAATGAGAGATGGGTGTGTGCTCAGAATAAGAAAGACCTGAATATAAGGGAGTTCTAATAACTTGTTGCTGGCTTGACAGAACTCATACAAGTTCCTGAGAATGCAGGGGTCAAATGTTCCTTCTTTGGGCCAACGCTTGCCAATAAGAGGGTAGGTTGGCCAGACCTCCTGGCAGTAAAAAGTTAATTGTTTAGTTTTTATGGTACTTTTAATTTTTAGAGTACGTAAATTAAAAATTAGACATTGTAAAGGCATCTTTTGGGAGTTAGAAAATACGTTCCCCATGACTGATTCAGGCAAGAAAAAAGCCAGTGGTCCAGAACAAGCCGTCACTCATTTGTGGCACCACGCAGCGGCTATGGTTCCAAAAACTTGTATATTCCAGTCGTCACTGAGAGATTTACGAGTGGAGCCCACATAAGTAACAGTTTTGCCCGTGAAAGCGCGAGGCTTTAAAGGAAGTGAGGCGGTTAGGGTTAGGATGTCTCGGGACAGGAAAGAGCTTGGAATTAATCCAGGATGTTATCTGGTTATTGGGTAGGGGACTCAACTGGGTGTGTCCCAGGAGTCAATCGCCTGCTGATCGAGTCACGGCACCAAATGCTAGGATTATTTCCAAAAGATGAGAAGTATAAAATAAAAAGCGGCCTTTATTCTGAGAACACGGAGAGAGATGACCAGCACCCCCACCGCTGGCATCCGGCGATCTCTCTGGCAGACACATGGCGTGGGGGCATGTAAATAGCCTCGGTTTGGGGTGGAACCTAAGGCGAGCATTAGGGATGTACAGGTAGCCCACTGGTCCTAGGTTTGGCGCCATATGTAAATTTCCAGGGGCGGGAAGATGGCATCACAGGTAACTTCCTAGGGGCACGGGAGATAGGGGCTTCCTGCTTCTGGTTGAGGCTTTCCTGGCTACAGTGTCCTGTCTGGGCCAAAACCCTTTCACTATTACCTTTGGGTAATCAAATTTTTAAAAAACATTTTTGGAGCGGGACATAGTGGCTCATGCCTGTAATACCAGCACTTGGGAGGCTGAGGCAGGAGGATCATTGTGAGTTCAAGACCAGCCTGGGCTCCAAAGTGAACTAAAGGCCAGCCTCAACTACATAGCAAGACCCTGTCTCGAAAAGACAAAAAAAAATTTTTTTTTATTGGTACTGGGAATTGAACTCATGACTTTATGCTTGCCAGACAGGCACTGTGCTGCTGAGCTATATCCCTAGCCCCTTGGTTAATCAATTTTAGATAGTATTTGTTGATTTATTGAAGGTGAGGGTTTAATTCTAAAATATACCATCTTCATTTTCTTTGCCTTATGTACCCAATATTACAATTTTTAGATAAATCAAAAATCTGTATTTAGATTATTATGCTTGTTCATACCATAGCATTTCATTTTAGTAACAAGTAGAAATTCAGCAGTGATATGCTTTAGTGTGCATTTATTTTCATCCATTATGCTAAGTGCTGAGAGAATCCTTTCAATTGGCAGTTTATTTCCTTCAGTTCTGGGAAATGTTTTTAATTATTTATTGAATATTTCACTCATATTCTTTATTCATTCTTTTTGGAACTCCAATATATAGATACTAGATTTCTACTTACCAGCAATTACTACTAATATTTTCATCTATTTCTTTCCAATTGTCTACATTTTAAATAACTGAAGTCATATTTGAATACATACTTTTGTATCCAAAATTAATATAACTGCCCAGTGTGGTAGCCAATGGCTGTGATCCCAGATTTGGGATGCTCAGCAGAAATATCAGAAGTTCGAGGCCAACCTGGGTGACATGGTGAATTCAAGGCCAGCCTGAACTGCACGGTGTGACCGTATCTCAAAAAAAAGAAAAAATGTAATTTAAGCGTTTCATAATGACCTTAAAAATTCTTCATTTAAGAATCAACAAATGAGATGATATCAAATTTAAAAGCTTATGCATAGCAAAGGGAACAACCAACAAAGTGAAAAGACAACCTAATAAATGTCCTTCAGAGAGAAGACTAATATCTAGAATATATAAAGAACTAAAAAATTTAGAGTCCCCCCCCCAAAAAAAACCCAATCAAAAAATGGGCAACTGAAGTGAATAGAAACATCTTGAAGAAATACAAATGGGTAATAAATATGTGAAAATTTGTTCAAACATCACTGGCCACTAGAGAAAACAACACTATGATTCTATCTTATACTAGAAAGAATGGCCATCATCATGAAATCAAATGATAAACGCTGGAGAGGCTGCAAGAAAAAAGGAACAAGATCTCCTACATTGTTAGTGGGGATGTATATTGGTCCAACCACTATAGAAATCAGTATGGAGATTCCTCCAAAAAAACGGAAACCAGCAATTCCATTTGACCAGGTATTCCCCTTCTAGGTATCCTCCCAAAAGAATTAAAGACCTCATACTGCAGTGATACCTGTATACCTATTAGGAGCCTTTGAAGCTGGGAGACTGACCACACTGCAAGGCTGGAGCATGGTCATTCCAATAACAAAGAGCACCTGGGGCAAAGATGTGACTTTGCTTCAGCTCCAAAACAATCTGAACAGTGGGTTGCTAGGGCAACAAGGTGTCATGTGACATTAAATTGCTAAAGGGTTTAAATAAACACCCCTGCAGAGAGGAGCCAATACCTTTCCTCCCAGCAGGAGAGTAAGGGCTCCACTTGACCCCAGCTTTTTCTCTTTCTTTTTCACATTCTCTCATGGTGCTTAACCCCAAGAACCTCAGGAGCCACATATGGGGATATATACCCACATGTGGAGGACCACCAGCACAGCATTCCTTGAAAGAAGAGCATTTAAGCTGGGTGTGGTGGCTCACGCCTGTAATCCCAGCACTCGGGAGGCTGAGGCAGGAGGATCGTTCGAGACCAGCCTGTGCTATGAAGTGAGTTCAAGGCCAGCCTGAACTGCATAGCGAGACCCCGTCTCAAAAAAGACAAAAATAAATAAATAAATAAATACATACATAAAGTAAAAAAATAAAAATAAAGAAAAAAAAGAGCATTTGTCTTCATTTTGGTTAAATCTGACTCTATTTCCATATATTATGTATATGTATAGAATGAGCTAGGATATTTCTTTATCAATTGGCTTTAACCAGTGCAAATGGGTCTAGTGAGATACTAATAATGAGTGATGCCAAAATGTGCCTCAAGAAAGAATCTAGGGGGCTGGAGATTTAGCTCAGCGGCATAAGTACCTGCCTTGCAAGCAGGCAGTCGTGAGTTCGATCTCCGGTACCGATAAAAATGAAAAAAACAAAAAAATTGAGTTAATAAAACCCTGGTACATTCCTGAGTCTAGGCCCTTACTCAGGTTCACCATTGTTCTAACTGGGTTCAGGATCGCTTTGGCTCTCCACAGCTGCAGATGTGTATTTATCCCTTTATTCTCATCTTGGGTTGCATTGGAAGTGATAGATTGGAATTACTAATTGGAATTTTAATAATTTTCCTTGGGAATACAAATATAAATGGGACCACAATGCAGTTCAGGAAAGGCTACCCTATATCCATGATTATAGAAGCACAGGTCATAAGAGCTAAATCTCGGAAGCAGCTTATATGTTCATCAGCAGATGAGTAAATAAAGAAAATGTGGTAATTATACACAGTGGACTACTACTGTACCATAAAGAAGGATAAACTTGAATTATTTGTGGGAAAATGGATGCACCTTGAGACCAGGTTAAGTGAAATAAATCAGACACAGAAGCTTATATATTACATGACTTTTCTTATAAAAGAAGTCCAAAATATAAACAAAGAGCAAAAACAAGACAGACATTAGATAACAGACAGCTGTTTTGCAAAAGAGAAGGGACAAAGAGATGGGGGTAAAGGCGAAGAGGAGATTTTAAAAATTGAGATGTGTTACGTATATGTACCAACTTATCATGATGAATGTGATCAGTATATGCTACAAACACCTCAAAATTTTTCTGTTTTTTTGAGACAGGTATGTAGTGTAGGCTGGCCTTGCATTTGCT